GACGACCAAAGGAAACTCGACAAACTTGTTTTCAAAAACACAAACAACAGATACAAGAAAGTAAAATGTATTGCCAAATGTCTCAACAGAAATTCATAAATCCAGACATTCATATAACGACCGATACTGGCATGGCGCTAGCCGGGATTGATGTAGGGTGGCAGAAGTAAGCTTTCAACGTAACGAAAAATGACCACATACATCTAAAAATGGCTCCGGTTCACTGACACATTAATAGCTCCTGATAAGACAAGCAATTAACCAAGAAAAGTCAGTCTTCTGAAAACGTCACATGGGATACGTGAAAAATCTTCTTGGAGGACCGGGATAAGTTCTTGGAGGACCTGGATCAGTTCTTGCCGGTTAGCTGGAAGATGTATCTACTGTCGTACACGACTATCCATACCATCACAAACGTATTTCAAAAGGGACAAATTTGTGTAGCGCAGCCCAAGGCAAGACCTTGACATTGTGGGCTGCAATGGTTCTGGGGTTGTGATGCAGATGAAATTGTTCTAGGAACGGTAAGAGGATTGGATGAAGAATGTCTCCCATGTAACGCTGTAGGATGACAAGTGATGTTCTCATCTGCCAACAAATTCCTCCTCCCACCACAACAGCCCCTCTACCACATACCACGACCTCCTATACGCACCATGCCGCCATTTGTTGTCCCTTCCGGTGTTAAACACGCAGTCTTCTGTCAGCTCAGAATCGCATTTCATCAGTGTAGACGATCCTCTGCCAGTTACGTCGCTGCCAGTCTCTGCCGACGCACTATCTATAGCTGTAATCCCCGAGTCCGTAATTCCGGACATCAGAAAATAAACTAATCTGATGTCTACCCTGTCTGTCTGTAACGTATCGTCAGGTTAGTTACAACAACACTGGATAATCCGACAGTTCCATCAATGTGGGCATGGGCGCCTCTGGGTGTCCGTCGTGTGTTTTATTCAGAATGAGTGTCCCATGTCTTCGGTATAACATAACTTTTACGCAGTTTCTACAAGCAAAAGCGCAGTGATTGTGTATCACTAACAGCGTAGAGTATTGTTGTATGTGGACGATACGGTTTGCATTGATTTATTTTGAACTTGTTCTTAAATTTCCTCAGTTTGGTAATAGTTCCTTTGGTCGTCAGTTAATTCTGTAGAAATCCTTTGTAAAAAATATCTGGCAGCCAGTTCACATTCTATTGATAATGTGTTTTTTTCTCAAAAGATTACTCGAAATTTTCGTACCTATCACATATCGTTTTTTTCAGGGTATTTGAAACCACATTTGCTCGACAGGTTCCTCATTCCTACCGAAAACATTCTAAGTGAAGTTTTCTATTTAGATGCCGACCTACTGCTGTATTGTCCTGATCATATGTGTAGACTGTAACTAGCAATAATACACACAATAATACGCATGTGTACATGACGCGCTTGTAAATACAAAACGTTATGGGGCAGTAGGGTAGGTTTGATGGGGTAATTGGGTTCTCTCGTCACGCCCAAGGTACGTACTAGATTCCAAACAATGTTTTATTCTTTCAGCCAAGTAGCCGACAACACAGACATAGTCTTGGAGCAGTAACGGCGCCATTATTCCCGGAGCAATGTCAAATGTGGCAGTGTCCACATCTTACGTGACTCAGAGAGTAAGTGAGTGAGTGCACTTTGAACCGAATCCAAGGTATATCACGGCTTGTCAGGGTACGTTGGCCAGCTCAACGTGATGCTGGTCCTAAACGTGTAATACTTTACTGAAGCCCACAAGCACGGGCGTTGGTGGTGAAGAACCGACTAGGGACTTAAACCCATGTTCCTAGTTTTCTGGTGTGCTCAAGGGACAACAGGAGATCCAGCAGATTAATATGGCATAATGACTCTATAGGGATGTCACGGAAGAGACAACTTGATTTTATAACAGTATATTTTAACAAGGAAGATAATTTTTATGGATGTCAACTTCTTCATTACGAGGAACACAACGTTACGGACTCTCTTCCTCATGTTTGTCTTCTAAATGCCATTCAAAGACCTAATAGATTTTCAATAGTTAATACATAAAGATAAGTTTCCCGAATAATACCTAAGCATGATGATCAGAGGGTGTCCTGAGAAGAAAATGTTTTGCGAAAAACAAAATTCTTCACTTCCTCCTTTCAAAGATAAAAACAAACTCTTTGTATGACATTTACATATGTGAGTATAGATGCTAATGCTTATTGAAACTGTAGCGATGTTTCCGTTTACATTTTAATACCAATCTCAATAAATGTATACACAAAGTGGACAAATAAGCAACCATGTAAAGGATACATTTGCAGTATGGGCGATATCTCACCTGTCTATACAACTTGCATCAAGCAACTGGATCCCTTCAAATACATTCTGGGGCTTTGGGGTAGCCTAATGGTTAAAGCGGCTACTCGTCATGCTGAAGACCGGGGTTCCATTCTCCACATGGGTACAATGTAGGAAGCCCATTTCTGGTGTCCTCCGCCGTGATATTGCTGGGATTTTTCTAAAAGCTGCATACTCACTCACTCAATCAATCAAATTCATCCTGTATGTGTACTAATACGTGTTCCATAGCTACACAGTAGTGTAAGATATGACCAAGAAGTATTTAGTATAGATTTTTACTTACAATGTTACAGTCAGAATTAGGCTTAGGAGCGTTTTGTTTCTGACTTGAACAGTGATGTCATGCAGATGTGACATTTAGCAGCTTAATCCACCTTCTTCAGATATTTCTTAATGCTTCAATGCTTCAATGTTTTATGCTTAATATTCGTTTACTAATATGGATGTAAGAGGTACGTTTTGGGGGTCTTTAATTCGAATCTTCTTGTCCAACAGAGTTTTTGGCCTCTGATCCTGTCACCTTTGGAAAATAACTTATTTTTCCTTTAACCAAGATGGCCTCCCCGTGGCCATGTTGAGATTCTAATATTTGATCCACTGAACAGCCCCTTCATAATCGGAGACATTACAGTAACAAAACGTTTTTGGACGACGCTGAGCAAATCTCTACAAATTAACGGAGTTTTAGAGCTGAAACTGTGATCACCTTACCAGAAAGTATGCTGCATACATGTGTACTACCAATCAGTCATCTGGCTGCATGTATTTTACTTGCATGGATTAGCTCAATATTAAAGTATGACTTATGCTTGATATGTTTGTGTATTATACATTTTAGTTTATCTCAGCTTTAATCGGACAAAAGCCTGCGCTTCCTTCGCCATTTGCTGTTGCTATCCAACTCATACTGCAAAGCCAGAATCGACAAAAGCAGTTTCATAAGAACGAAATATTAATCATAAGAAACAAGAGTCCATTTCACACTTCCGACTGTATAATCCCTATTTGAACGTATTTCTGAATCACTGTTTAAAAATCGTGATGCCAGGTATTTACAAAGACATAAGCGTATCGTGGCCCAGCAGTGGCGACCTTTATTCAACTAAAACAAGCTACAAATCAAACTAGGATACCCTGTCTCATATAGCTACATATGCTCCACATGTCCTTCATAAGTGTTTTCATGCTTTGGTGAGCATACATTGCTTAATTCTGATAACAGAACTAATTTAGACATTCCTTTAGTGTTATAACCCGTGAGGATTCGGGCTGAATTGGTCTTTAGCAGCCATGCTTGTCGTAAAAGGCGACTAACGTGATCAGTTGGTCAGGCTCGCCGACTTGGTTGACACATGTCACCATGTCCCCATTGCGTAGATCGATGCTCATGCTGTTGATCACTGGAATATTTGGTCCACATTCGATTATTTTCAGACCGCCGCCATATAGCTGGAATATTGCTGAGTGCGAAGTAAAGTAACAAACCAACCAACCAACTTTCATTGTTACGTTTTAAATTCCATTCCTATTAAAAATTCCCCACTTGTTGAATGAGCAATTGCAATATTCATGTTAAAGTGTAATGCGTGTGACTTTGTAATACTTGCTGTAGATATTCACATTGTCTGATACCCAACTGCTTGTGTGCGGATGACAACAAGCAGGATGTGTCACTCGGAGGAAACGCCGTGAGACCGGACATGATTGTGTCATTCCTCGTCGTGTATATTTGTATCTACTGTGTATTAAAATCTACGGATGTGATGCTGATGTTTCCATTCATCATTTTTAGAGCCCATCCAGTGAGTCACGTATGACGAAACATAACAGACAATGAACGCGGGACTGTTTCATGAACATTATTGATTTATTCTCTGAATATACGTTTGAAAGTCGAGTTTGAACTAGAAGTCCAGAATTGAGCAACTATATATGCATGCTTATATGCTTACAACTAAAAAGCAAATAACCAAGATAATAATTATAAAACCCTGCCCATCCTAAACACACAAAGTAAAATATCCCATCAAACATCAATCATTGGGAAAGAGGACACTTCAAGAAACTAATGATATTCACAGACATATGCCAGCCATTCGCAGAGACCAATGCCAACTTAAAATTGTAAAATGTCATTTATGTGTCAGTTTACAAGAAATAAAAAAAATCATTTTAATCATCGAGAGATACACAACTATAAACCACTGAAATTGAACAGCTTGTATTTAATTGATCAAATTCATTCGAAATATATTTCATCCAAATGGTTTAATTCGCACTGCTATAAGCATAACATTTTATGCATGTTATTGGAAATAATATAGTCAATAATTATGAGAGGCACACTATCACAATGAGGGTAATGCATTTGTCAATAGTTTTCAAACCGACCCACAAGGGTTGATGGTTATAATGTTTTCGTATAGCATCTTATAGTTTTCCCAACATATTTCATGTTCATTTTCAGGACTCACATACCACTGATTCTAACGGGTAATGAATTTACACTGCCATTGTTTTAACAGTGGTAGCCTTTATATATTACCTGTCACCGAGTGTGACCACGAAGACAGCATCTTTTATATTTTTTTAATTATATATTTTTGACAGTCAATTGACAATACTGAGTACTGGTGTTTGGGGCTACCAAGGGTAACGTTATATTCTTAAAGGAAATTAGTGGTGAATGTGGATATAATGTCCTTTAAGAATATTTAATCTGGGATGTAACTGACCCGATTTATGCCAAAGGCGATCAGGGTGATGACATTTTTGTGAGCTTAACAAGTGATATAAACTGTAATAGAAATTATAATGAACGAATTATATATTCCATTTTAGAGTTAACTTCCTCTCTAAAGTAATCATTATCATTTCATTGAAGGCATTTTGAGGAATGTTCTTGACAATAGGTTGTGATCAATGTTTAGGAATGTTTTCAATTAACTGATGGCCAACAATAGACAAGATAAGAAACCACAGGCTGAACATTTCTAACACAAATATTGAGAAGTGTGTTTAATAGAAGTAAAATACATAGAAGTAAGTGCTCGGTATCGGCCCCTGGTGCCTTGTCTCTTGAAACACTTCAAATTATATGAAGTATGACATGTCGTGCTATCACCGTAGCCAACTTGGACAATGAAATTATATCTCCTATGTTAACGAAACTAATTTGATACGTCATATACTATAAATGACCAATTCTCCTCTGAAATGTAGTGACACTTCGGTGTACAGTCCATCACTACTTGAGTACTAGTGATGTACTCATTGACACTTAATACTTGTCTTCATAGATTGGACAGGGTGAGAAGATCCGTACAAGGAACTCCCTGCTGGTTCCACGTTCTCTGGAAGGACGCAGAATGTACGTCCCAGGTGACAGGATGTAGCGGAACACACGCTGGAGTTCAACAGAGTGTTGTGGCTTTCCCTCAATGTCTTGAATAGGTGTACGACCATCCCCCTGCAATGGAGCGATGTTTTTGACAATGAAATAAACTTTAACATCATGTGTGTTGCATGAACATTTCCTGTAATACAAACAGTTAATGATCATTAAGTGTGAAATATAAACTGATCAGACTTGAGTTTTACTCTGCACAACAAGCGGACGATGGTTAGCTACTGAAGCATTAACGAAACCTCGTCACCCTACTTCGTTTTAAAGGACCAGAGCTCTTCTCACTCACGGTTAATACGTCACAGCCGATGTTGCTGAAGTTGTCGTGCCGGAGTTCATCCTGTATGACTTGAACTACGACAGGGACAGTTCCTTCCGGTGTGAGGCCTGACAGTATAGACGTTCAGGGTCAGAGAAACAGTTACCCATCCTCGATTATCTAACGATTATCCCCAATTAGGTATTAGAAATAATTTCCCAACACATAACATGTTCATAAATTTTTTTAAGGTTTCGCAGTTGTGTATCAAACACACTTTCATCAACACAACTTTTTAGTCTCTTAAAATATTTCCCTACTGTTGGAAAATTAAATGCTATTGAAACGCGGTAACCAAGAATATCCTGTAACAACACAGACAAAACTATTTCTGGACATATTCTTCAAAAGATGTTTTTATAAAATATAAAAATAAAAAACTATTATGCCAGAACATTATATACATGCATGCATGCATCCATCCATCCATCCATCCATCATCCATCCACACACACACACACACACACACGCATACACACATACATACATACATACATACATACATACATACATACATACATACATACATACATACATACATACATACATACATACATACATACATACATACATACATACATACATACATACATACATACATACATACATACATGGAAGTGTAACTGCGTCTACATATATAATGGTGCCAGCCAAAAACAGTTTCTTAAACAGTTCGACCTGAAACCATTCTTTCGTCTTCCTATCTCTGAGATACAAATGGAAACACATGGTAAAAGTTGGGCTCGTCTCCCTATGTTATTATACTGAAGAAAACAGTTCCAGCAAGAAGTACTCAGGGCAAAATGTATTGGGATTTCCCTCGAACAAGACCGATACTTTGAATGTAAATCTATGATAATTCCTCAGTTAGAAGAGTGACATTGATTTGTGGCTGAGTTCAAGGTCACATGCGAGATTCTGCCTGTGGGTGATGGAAACTGTGACGTCACGTCCGGAACGAAGCTTTATGTATAAAAAATGTCAACTTGTCGAAAACGCTCAGTGCCACGAATGTTATTGTTTTACATATTCTGTCCTTAACATAATTGGCACGAGCTCCTTGTGTCTTTATGAACCGTCCAAAAACAAAACATTGCATAAAACATTTATCGTTTGTTGAGACTTTGACACATAACAATGATATCACAGTAAGAGAATTAATTAACACTACAACCTCTATACTTGTCGGAAAACTCCGGCTTCTTGCAGATCTTTGGGATCTTGACTTTCACCTCCGTTCCCCACTCTCCAAATATCCTGAGCACATAGTCTGACAAAAAGGAAGAAAGGTTTGATAAATCTGGCACTTTTAAACACGAAAACAACTCAAAGAGGATTCTAACCTGCGCGACTCTGCTGCCTTTGACTTCTAGTCATACACGTATTGTACTAAATCATTAAAAAACGTTGTTTTATTGATTGTTTACCAATATGTGACGGCGGTTTCTAAATGATCGAATCAATCAAGTTATAGATATTGTGAACAAAGATCCACGCTGTCACGGTCATTCTGAGCAACGATGACGCCGTTAAGCCAAATTACCCACTCAAAACATCTGATTTGGGGAGCTTATAGTAACGAAATCGCACAACTGTAGGAGTGAGTGAGTGAGTATTGTTTAACGCCGCTTTAAGCAATATTCCAGCAATATCACAGAACACCAGAAATGGGGCTCACACATTGTACCCATGTGAAGAATCGGACACAGGCCTTAGGGGTGACGAGCAAATGCTTTAACCACTAGACTACCCCACCACCCCTCGAATGTGGGAATATATTTTCTTTGCAGCTGTGCAGCCTCTTAGAGTTTCGTATTTATATGAAAGTATGAAATTGATACATCGTACAGTATTAGGCAATATAATTGACCAGATGGAATTGTAGGTCATTCCAAAAGTGTTTTCTTATCTTAGAAAGTGAAATATATACACACGATGAGACAATCTAGTGATTTATGTTCTGAACACTTATGGGGCGGTGGGGTAGCCTAATGGTTAAAGCGTTGGCTCGTCACACCGAAGACCCGGGTTCGAATCCCAACATGGGCACAATGTGTGAAGCCCATTTCTTGTGTCCCCCCGCCGTAATGTTGCTGGAATATTGCTAAAAGTGGCATAAAACTAAACTCAGTCAGTCAGTCTGAACACTTATCCACGCCAATGGGATACAATTACACACAAAAAACGAAATGACCCAGTTTAATCACATAATCCAAATGACCGTTTAACCAAACCTGCAATCTTCATGGAGCTGGTTGTGTGAGCGAGTTAAGTTTTATGCCGCTTATATCAATATTGCAAAATTATTGGGGAAAACCAGGAATCAACTTAACACATTGTGCTCACGAGGGGAATCGAAATGGTGACGGGCAGACACGTTTACCAACACTTCTTCCCCACCACCCCTCGTTGCATTAGGGTAGTCGGAAATATATGATGACGTGTCTGAAATAATTGGTCAAATGTTTCACGACATAATCTGTTAAGTAACCGCAAGCGTATGGATGGCAGTGGACCCACCTGCCCATATCAGGATCTACAGCAACCCATGCCGTGAATAGAGGAACACTTTTTATTTACATAACAATTTGCTTGTCAAATGCATGTTGGATAAGTCGATGGTCAAAATGTCAATTATTGGACATATTGCTGATTGTTGTACACAGGGGGGTATAGCATAAGTCTATCATTTTGTTTCTCACACCTATGTGATCTAGTTACACACCTGGATGACCTCTTTAGATTCTCGTTTGGCAATATAAGGTCTCCAAACAGTGTTTGACAAATTCATTCTCAACTAAATCTTTGAAGTGAATGTCTCCTCCATGAAAACAATTCCAAGCTCTTGACTCTAACGGTTCTGTTGGCACATAGAAAATAGAATCAGTTCACCATGATATTCTCAGGAAGAATCACTGTGGACTAGTGACAGCTATACAATTTGTAGATAATGTGGTCAACAAACTGGTACAGTTTAAAGTCATAACGAACTACATGAAGGCTGATATTATTGAAAAAACTCAAACCCCCTTTGACAGTGTTGCAGAACTATTGTGTACCCTACCTAGACATACAGTTTTAAGTTTGAAGAAAGTGGAGAGACAGAAACCTTGACATGGCTGGGTCTTGAGACTCTGACCCTACTGACAAATCGTTGACCCTGTCACAGGATCTCCGCTGTCATCTGGATCTTGGTGAACATGTGTTCGTGACAGCCAAGTCTTGGGATAATGTACTGAATATTCACATCAGGAAGTATGATGTGTATTTTAGTGTTAGAAGTTATCCTACTCGAAGTGGCATCGTACTCACCTTGCAAACACTGGCTGGAACTACCCAGTGTGTTCTAGCAAATAGAAGATCTCACGAAGTCTGGTCCCTCAGGTTCTTCTGCACATATGGGGGTTAACATGTATGCTACATTGGAGCAGCATGGTGTGGATCTCAGACAATGGGAAACGACCAAAGACAAAGTCGTACCTACTTCCAAGAGTATCTTATTGTGCCTAGACCAGTAAAGAATACTGAGGGATTGTTGTGATGTGATGACAGACTTTGTGCCCGAACTCAAAGACATGGTTCCCTGTCTCTTTCAGGAAGATTATCAAAATCAATTATCAAAATCTTCTGTATCCCTAATGACAATGCATGTTGGAGTGACTGACCATTTGTTTTATGGATGGAAGTCTAAGACAATTTGCTTTGGTGATCATACACTTGCAAGTATTTTACAAGAGACTGCACCAGCCAAGCAAAAACTTCTTGGGACATGTGTGAAAGGCTTTACTCACAAAGTGTGGGATACTGCCAACCTTCATGTTATGACTAAGGCGTTAATGGCTAAATTGTCTCAGAACAGTGACTTGAAACATGTATTGACTGAATCATATCCAAAGCAGCTAGCCGACGAAGCCCTTTGGTAACAGATGGGGAATAGGAATAGATGTATCTCATCCTGATATTCATCAACCTTGGAAATGGCTGGGGGAAAACCGTTACGTCCGTGAAAGGTTGTTGTTGTAAATATTGTACCTTGCTTTTTATACCTGAATAAAACATTGAACATTAAATGTCATTTGAGATCTGTTTCATGTAAATAGTTTAGTCTTTGAATCTTCTCGTAATTTGGAGTCATGGCTTCATGGGAAGAGTACTTGAATAAGATCCATTACGATCCAGAACATGCTGGTAGTGATGTTGTTAAGGTCAAAGCTCCATTAAGACTGTGGAAATCTATATAGAAGGGCACACGGTCAATCCAGCTTCATTTATCTGTGGACCAGTGCAGTGGCCGTTTTCATCTTGAATATTCCACAAAATGAAATCTGTTTGTGCAAGATACAGAAAAATAGATTCGATGTAATATGTTACAAGCCAATGGTCAACTTGATCCTTATTACTCTGTTATAAGAGGTGGTCAAAGAACAGGTATGCTGTCTGTAGATAGAATGCTGGAACTGTATGATCCTGAATTGCCTAATATCTTGGAAGAACAAAAGAGAAAAGAAGAACAAGGACAGCCTTCTTCTTCTTACAAAGAACCTAAAACCTAAAATCAACTTTCTCAAAATCAACTGGGTCTCAAAAGGAAGACATACGGTAGTAAGTACAAGACACGAATAATATATATCAGGAGGAGGAAGAGGGGGAATGAGACATTGTTATTCACAAACGATGTAGAGTAGATTTTGGGAATGCTCCTATACTAATGTCTACTGATGGAAACAGATCTTATAAATATTACATGAAATTTGCATACCTTTCTTGTTTGTTTATCATATGATGTATATCTATTGTTGAAAGACTGACATTAATCAACTGTTAGTTGTACAACTGAGTAAGGATCACTATTTTCTTTTAATAACTGATAAATAATCTATTGGCAATTCCTGCCGTAACCATATTTCACTGAATCCAATGCCTGTCAAAATACATTTAACTGGATATACCCAATACTGTACATCACAAGTCTCCACCTCCTCATACAAGATACTCTAAACAACCCCATAAAATACTATTACCATTCACAAGAAGCTTACACCAGTAGTTAATCATATAATACTCCTTGTGGAATAAAAACGGGTCACAACCCAACTCTGCATAAACCGTTAAATTACATGTTGAGTTCTTAGTGAGTGAGTTAATATTTAACGTCACATCGGCAATATTTCAGCCATATCGTGACGGGTGTTGATTTCTTAAAACAATCAAAGTAAAAAGATTCAGGATAGAGAGAATCTAGGATAGAGAGCAACCTGATATTATTGTAAATGGAGTGAGTGAGTGCCAACTAGAATATCACAATATCAAGAAATAAAACTAGCATATATCTCTAAAATAGGATTTCAGATTAGGACAATACAATATAAAAAAGACTGAGGATCTCCAACAACTGAAGGTAGACCACCCCTCTAAGGACCATGTATTGTAAATGGAAAACAGGGGCTCTTCTACCTTGATCAGTCAACTGCCACTAGGCCTTTAAATCGGTTATTATAATCAAAATGATTATTGATTAGCACCAGGTAGGTTTAAATACTGTACAACTAATTAATGGGCAAGACAAAACTATTTAGATACAGGAATGTGAAAATAGCATTCAATATTAATGTCTTGGATGCAATGTTTTATCATTCAAACTTTAACACTTTCAAGATGACAGTTGGGATGTGACCAGGTGTCAGACATATACCAGGATTCACACGTAGAATAGTTATAACATAATACCCCAAGATATTGACAAGCTGTTTTCACCAGATGACACAAACATGACCTGTTGAATCCCCCATTATCCCTCTTGTAGGAAGTACGTTAAACTAGATGTATAGACTAGTATGCCTTTTTCTCGCAAAGCATAAATAATAGTTCTTATACTGAGGCCATCGTACATCGAGACAAAGTCGTCTCTGTAACGTCTTTGAGTGGGAAATGCGAATGGTATGTAGTTTTGATGGTCAGTATTCGAGAATCAAAAAGACACACCACCCCATTCAATCTGTGTGTTCAAACATGTACACAAATTCACTGAAGCCACCCTGCATGTTCACCATGCATGGCGTCTTTATCAATTTAAGTGCTTGGCAACTCACATCTATTGAAATGCCCCTGAATAAATACGTTGTTATCAATGAGTGAGGCGGGCTACAAACTGGTTACAATATAGTTTAGCTAACAAAAGAGTTGTACACACTGAGCTGTTCCATTGTATAGATAACAGCCTAGGAATTAGCAGGGTGGCCGCTTGTGAAGACGTTCAACATAGTGAGCACACGCCTCGTGAGGCGACCCCTGAGCAGTCAAACACAATATCTATAGAAATTTCATGCATCTATAGAAATTCACTGAACCGTGAAGTAGTTGGCAAGCAGTATTTTTGTAAATAAGAATCATGTATTTGTGATAGAAATGTCTACAGATTTGTGTTGTTGCACCTAATGTATAAACTACACATATACAGAATGATTGTATACAATAATTACTGTATAATACACATGTCTATTGTGTATGGTGTTGTGTTTCTGTGTAATTAGGTCACGCACCTGTGTCATGAGGTCATAGCTTCCAGAAGTGTCTGTCCCTGCGTTATAAGGTCATGTATAAGGTCACACACATCAACATAATGAGGTCACACAGGTGTTTTAAGAACAGACCAGCGGCATCATAATAAAAACAATGGCCGATAAAAAAAATGGCTGAAAAAAGACAAGACAACAAAAGCCCTACCCAGAATGCCCTCTTTGATAATACAAAATCAGAACAAAATATTACTAATACTATATCGAACAAAATATTACTGAAACTTAACAGCTAATAAGTTTGCATTAGGGTTTTCCCACGACCCTGTCCAAGATATTTTTCTGTTACCTTATGAATGAACTGACTTTACCATGCAATATTCAGTGCGGAGTAATGTGATTACAGTATTCACGTTGCAAATGAACATCAGCTTAATTGGGGAGGAAAGACGGAAGGTGAAGCAGATCTCGCTTTTACCACCAGCACGGCTGTGGTGTTTGAAACTAAGAAACAAAATCAGACGAACCAAGCCTCGAAATCACGATCATACGTTTCTGTCGTGCCCAAGGGGTGGAGCCTTAAAAGACTTGGCGTCACGCGTCTCTTGAAATTACAGTTGGGGAACACTGGCAAGTTTCTACTCTCTTCTTCTTAGGTTTCAATATCACACAGCGTCATGGATATGCTGGATTTTAATTAATCCCAATCTCACTTACATATAATAATATAATAAATCTAGAGTTTTGACCGCCTGTCCAGAAGTATCATGTTTGATAACAGAGCCCACCATCCTCGTTTTCTCTTAATCGTTTATGCCAATCGATTCGGGAAGTTTGTTTTTATTAATGTGGAGGCTCTTCATGATAGAATTTTATTGCGTACTTTTGCACATATTTATTTATCAGATAAACCTCTGGTGATGCATGTCTCTCATGATGAACGCAAGGACTTCCACAGTAATTTAAGCGTGCCAAGGTTGTTGGACAGAATCTGAAATCTGAAGTTGATTTTGTTGATTTTGTCACTGCTGGACGGCGCAGCGATAGGAGTAAACCAGGTGCAGTCCTTCGCCACTTTGGCCCAGAGTCGGTCGTGTGATTCTAAAGAAACATGAAATGGCATCTGTGTGATGAATTTACAGAGACTGTCCAACACCTTGTCAGTGAATGGCCTTTGTTGGCACAAACATCATATTTTTAAAGACATGACGGCATGGCTCGCTGCTTCTATTGTATTTGCCATGCCTGTGGTTGTGACTCCGAGGTCCATCCATGGTACGTCCATGAACATGTCCAGGGCGTCATGGAAAATGATGCTTTTAAATTTCTTTATATCATTGAATTTTCAGTCCCTTTTGACAGCAACGTGATTGGCATGATTCAGGAAAAGCATGCTAAATGAAATGTGTCGCTTCCATCCCAAGTACACTATCGTCAGGACTACCCATTCTTCTCGATGTCCTTGGTTTGGTACCTCCTGATCTCTTTGCGCAGATCAGGAGAGTGCCTGAGGTCTCCCCTGTGAGCATAGCCCTACTGACACTCTGGGTAATGCAGAAGGCTGCAGTGTTGGGGAGTCTACATATTCTCTGGAAAGTTCTTGGTGGGTTCAACAAGGCAGCGCTTCCTGGGAGAAGTCCCAATCGCTGTCTGGGCTGCGTGTAGAGGGGCAAGGGCCCTGAGCTGATGATGAGCATTACCAGCCTGACTGTGCCAGGATCACCCGAACCCTGCGTTTTTCATCTTAATCTGTAAAACATAATAATAATAGTGAATATTGATAATGAGCACACATCCACACATAAGAATGCTCAAGGTGCTAACACATGATCACCTTGGATAACCCAAACTGCATGTTAGGTGCCAGAAGATTAACAGTCACATGACTTATCCCTACTGGTACCCATTTCCTGCTGGGTGAACAGAGGCTATTTTGAACAAACTCACTTGCCAAACGTGACACTACTTGTTGTGGGGCAGGACTGAAGTCCTTGAAACTCTCAGGAGTCAAGCTTCCAAACACGGTCACCCATACAAGGAATCACCGTGCCCAACCCTGCTTATCTGCAACTGATTTGTGATCTGAGCTCTATGTACAGGACAACACATCACCAACCTGTTTGTCAGGATCCCCATTTCCATACGCTTCGTACATCTACAAATAGAGACAGACATTCTTGTATTCAGGAGTTACTCACTTAAAGGATCGGACTGTCCATCTTTGTCGAAATCAATAGTCATGGAACAAATTGTAGTTTGCGTAAATTTTGCATTAAGTCTGACAGTTCCATCCAGAACTCCCCATCATCTCTAATTCGTCTCAAATCTTTTGCCTTTGACCAAAGTCTCCCATTCAGGACTCCTGCAAAACAAATGATGATTTCTTCGAATCAAACTTGAGCCCTTACTGGTGTCCTAAAAAGAAACAATGTAATTCGTTTTCTGTCACATTTGTCCCTTTATTCTTTTCCCGGTTTCTTCACAAACTGTGTGTTGAACTATGGTGAGAATAAATAAATAAAAACTGTGACGAAGCGGTGTTGAAATATTTGATTTCCTCAGCATGTTCAATTTGTTCATGCAGCCAGCGTAACTCCACGTATAGTGGATTTCCAATGCCCATGCAAAGTTTTGACGTGTTAAATATAAGTTTTTCAAAAGCTCATGCTCGTGGATGATGTATTTGTGAATACAGTGACATTTGAATAGTAATTATACAATGAATTGCTATAATTAATAGATCTAAATGATGAACCCATTGTGAAATATTTATTGGGTGAATTACTTTGGGGTTGAAATATTTATCAGTTCTATCCTGCGCGTCAGCTTGATATATGAGGAACGAAATATAACCTCGGCGAACGGGAAACCTTTTGTGGAACACTCGGTATGCCAAATGGATGCATATTTCCACGCGAATTGTATGACTGGGCAACCATGTACCCCAAAAAGTTTAAAAACTGCAAAATACTCCATAAAGGAAAGGTGTTAGACACGAAACAAACTTACTGGTCACTCCATTTGCCTTTCCACTCGTTTGTTCCATGGGGATTCCTTATTCTGATCAGACAAACAACTTCACCGTTGTATCTCTGCACCTGCATTTACATGAAACATTTAAGACGTTCAAACCACTACGTACACCAATGTTAGCTTTGTCTGTTTAAACCACTAAAGCACATCAACGATATTTTTCGTCAATTACTATACAGAAATATCTAAACACAAAACACTACGGCGCATCGACGATATTTTTGTCTGTTTATTTCAGACCCGACCCATATCGAAATATCTTAACACAAAACACTACTGGACATCGATATTTTTCGTTAATTACAATACCGAAATATCTAAACACAAAGCACTACTGCACATCAACGATATTTTTGTCCGTTTACTTCAGACCCGGCCCATATCGAAATAACTTCATTGCGGTATGTCAGCACCTACATTTGCATCATACATTTCAGATGCTGAACACACTATCACACCAATGATGTTGTTCGTCAATTACTAAAGACCCGACCCATACCTAAATATCTAAACACAAAACACTACAGCACATCAACGATATTTTTCTTCTATTACTCCAGACCACATCTATATAGAAATATCTAAACACAAAACACTACAGCACATCAACGATATTTTTCTTCTATTACTCCAGACCAAATCTATATAGAAATATCTAAACACAAAACACTACAGCACATCAACGATATTTTTCTTCTGTTTTTACTTCAGACCCAATGCATACCCAAATATCTAAACACAGAACAATACACCACATCAACGATATTTTCCTTCTGTTTACTTGACACGCGACGCACGCCATAAATACTAAAGATCCTCTAGTTATACCTATCGTATCTGATACCAGGGTGAGAATGCTTAACTTCACCTTTTCACTTATTGAAATGTACGTGGAGTCATCATATGCTGTAGTGTAATATGATTAGTGCCTGTTCGTATTATAGGACTTTGTCCCTTAGGCATTAATTACAATAGTTCACCTAACGATGGAAAAGACACGTCCCTACCGGCAACTGAGGTTTATGATGCATGTTTAGCAATGAATACAGAGAATTAAAAGAAACAAAATAGGTCCAGGTATCAAAATACAATAATGTTGATATTATCTATGATCTATATAGCTGAACTAGTTGTCTTTACCTTGGCAGTTTGTTCAGGCGTTCAGAGCGTAGGCATCATGGTCCCAACAGGCGACAAGTGCACCTGGTATAATACATGTGTTGAAACGAAACGACATTTGTGGTAACTGGTTATATCACAGGAGAAACATATATACCTGAGTTGAAAAATATGTGAAGGATTTGATTTGAGCTTTCGTTCGATGTGGACTTTAAATGAGACACGTAGTCATAATATATGGTTATTTGAGCAACTGTTTTACTGTGACAAGTCAGTGAAATAACAATAGTCTGTGACCTCCTGAAAATGGACAGATTTGTGGAAACTTAATGTGATATGAAAATTACAATGATATATGTTTTGCTAAAAAGCTTTGCATGCCGCTTATAGCCTAATGAGTGAGTGAGTGAGTTAAGATTTCTTGTCACATCGGCGGTATTTCAGCCATGACCAATAGTCACCAATACACGCTATACATTCAGGACACATAAATCGAGAATATACAAACATGTTGAAGAACCTATTGTCTACATTAAAAACAACCAGAAAATCACAGATATAGATGTAAAACTAGCATGTAAATCTAAAACCAATACATATATATATCCACGCTACTAGTGTTTGCTCAAGGCGTTTTTTGCATGCTTGAGCAAGCACTAGATGGGTGGATATGTGCGCTATATAAATATCCTATAATAATAATAATAATAATAATAGTCAGTCAATGCTAAGAACAATACAACAAAGAAAAACCGGTTTCAAGTAAAACTAACGGAAACTAGAAAATACATTTCCTGGATAGAGCTGTGCCTGAAGTTAAGATCATCAGGAGTCCAATGTCAAAAAGGCAAAAGGCAATTTGGAGAAAATTAAAATTACAATACAAGACAACAAAAGGAAAGGTACTTCTTCAAATTGTCGATTCCCTTAAGGCCAAAATAAGGTTTGGACTGAAAGAAAGAAAAATGGGAAAAGAAAAGTAAATTCATCAAACAAAATAAACTTTTTAGAAACAATGAAAAGCACTTCTACAGGCAACTGAAAACAAAGAGTGATGGTGAACATGACAAACGGCCTTCCATGGATGCCAATGAACGGTTCTGGAAACAGTTGTGGTCTGTACCCGGCGACTGTAACCTTGAGGCACCATGGGTCCGTGATTATGATCATGCAATGCATGAGAAAGTAAATAGGTCGTTTGTCTGTTACATCTCACCAGATTGCCTGAAAAGTGTCATCAAAAAGTCCAAATCTAATACAGCTCCAGGGCCTGATGGCATTCGAAACCGGTATTGGAAACTGTTTCCCTGTGTCCAAACACCATTACTACACTGTTTCAATTCTCTCGTGGACACAGGTGATGTTCCTCCATGGTTCTGCAAAGGTCGCACAAGACTTCTCCCCAAGAAAGGAGACTTGACTGATCCCAAAAACTTCCGCCCTATCACATGTTTGAATACACAATACAAAATATTCACAGGGTGTTTGACAGACATCGTGTCATCTTACTGCTCTTCCAATGATATAATTTACAGAGAGCAGAAAGGGGCGACAAAGGGATGTTGGGAGTGCAAGGATCAACTTCTTGTACAAAAAATGATTTTGGAAGAGGCTAAAGTATATCACCGCAACCTCTCCATGTGCTGGATTGACTACAAAAAAGCATACGACTCTGTTCCTCACGAATGGATTCTGAAGTCTCTTCATTGTTGACCTCCCTGAGCGACTACTTGATTTACTCAAGTCTTTAATGAGTTGCTGGTCGACTCAACTTGAGATGTACTCGCAAGGGCAGGTGCAGACATCGGAATCTATTCCAATCAGAAGGGGAATTTTCCAGGGGGATTCCTTTAGTCCTTTGCTTTTTTGTCTGTCTTTATATCCTTTGAGCTTACCGCTCAATAAAGAGGAGGGTTACCATCCCGGACCTCCTCAGCACAGATCCCCAACACCTCTTACTCATCTCCTTTACATGGCTGACATCGAGCTCCTTGCCAAAGGAGATACCAATTTGAAAGAACAGGTTCTCCTTGTCGAGTCCTTTTCTAATGATATTGGCATGACATTTGGACTCGACAAATGTAATACTCTTCATTTGAAACGCGGCAAGGTAATGCGCAATGATGGATCGGTCAAGTTACAAGGGAGAGGAGTTATTGAGCATCTTGTGGAAGATCAGGCCTACACCTATCTTGGAATGCAAGTTCGAGACAAGCTTCAGAATGCCCAAATTCAAGAAAAACTTCGGGCCGAGTACAAATCTCGTTTAAAGAAAATCTGGAGCTCAGAGCTAAATGCTCGAAACAAGGTCAAAGCCACCAATACTTTTGCTGTGCCAGTCCTCTCCTATTCCTTTGGAGTAGTTGACTGGACAAAACAAGACATCCAGAGTCTTGACCGTCTGACCAGAAGCATCATGTCTGATAACAGAGCCCACCACCCTCGTTCCTCTCTTAACCGTTTATACATGCCAATCAATTGTGGAGGTCGGGGTTTGATTAATGTGGAGGCTCTTCATGATAGAATTTTATTGTGTACTTTTGCACATATTTATTTATCAGATGATCCTCTGGTGATGCATGTCAAGATTCATGATGAAAGCAAGGAATTCCACAGCTATTTTAAGCGTGCCAAGGTTCTTGGACAGAATCTGAGATTTGAGGTTGATTTTGTTGATGGCGATGTGCTGCTGGACGGTGCAGTGATGGGAGTAAACCAGGTGAAGTCCTTCACCAAGTCTGCCCAGAGTCGGTCTTTTGTGGAGAAGCTTTCTGAGAAACCATTGCATCGTGTGTACATGCAGTGTTTGGAACAGAATAGCAATCCCACCGACTCCTTCGCCTGGATGAAGTCGGCTGGTCTTAAATGTGAAACTGAGGGCTTCCTTTTTGCTGCCCAGGACCAGTCACTTCCCACTCGCAATCGCCTAAATGTGATTCTTAAAGAAAATATCAATATGAAATGTCGACTTTGCAATGAATTCACAGAGACTGTCGAACACCTTGTCAGTGGATGCCCTTCCTTGGCACAAACAGCATATCTTTAAACGACATGATGGCATGGCTCGTTGCTTTTACTACCGTCTCCGACATGCCTGTGGCTTTGACTCCGAGGTCCATCCATGGTACGACCCTGAACATGTCCAGGGCGTCATGGAAAATGATGCTTTCTAAACTTCTGTGGAATAGGCCCATATACAGCCTCAGAAGAATTCCAGCCAACAAACCTGATCTTGTCCTTTTGATAAAGCCAATGAATTTATTTATATCATTGAATTTTCTGTCCCTTTGACACCAATGTGATTGGCAAGATTCAGGAAAAGCATGATAAATATGCGGACCTCGCCTTTGAAATGTCTCTGCTTGCATCCCAAGTACACTGTCGTCAGGCTCCCATTGTTCTCGGTGCCCTTGAGTTTGGTACCTCCTGATCTCTTTGGCGCAGATCAGGAGAGTGCCCTGGTTCTCCACCGGGAGTACAGCCCTTCTGACACTCTGGGTAATGCAGAAGGCTGCAGTGTTGGGGAGCCTTCATATTCTCCGGAAAGTTCTTGGTGGGTTCGACTAGGCAGCGTTTCCTGGGAGAAGTCCCATTCGCTGTCTGGGCTGCGTGTAGAGGGGGCAAGGGCCCTGAGCTGATGATGAGCCTTACCAGCCTGACTGTGCCAGGATCACCCGAACCCTCTCTGCTGCATACAATCTTTAATCTGTAAAACATAATAATAATAATATTCATTGAATTTTCTGTCCCTTTGACACCAATGTGATTGGCAAGATTCAGGAAAAGCATGATAAATATGCAGACCTCGCCTTTGAAATGTCTCGCTTGCATCCCAAGTACACTGTCATCAGGCTCCCCATTGTTCTCGGTGCCCTTGGTTTGGTACCTCCTGATCTCCTGGAGCAGATCAGGAGAGTTCCGCGTTTTCCACCGGGAGTACAGCCCTTCTGACACTCTGGGTAATGCAGAAGGCTGCAGTGTTGGAGAGCCTTCATATTCTCCGGAAAGTTCTTGGTGGGTTCGACTAGGCAGCGTTTCCTGGGAGAAGTACCATTCGCTGTCTGGGCTGCGTGTAGAGGGGGCAAGGGCCCTGAGCTGATGATGAGCCTTACCAGCCTGACTGTGCCAGGATCACCCGAACCCTCTCTGCTGCATACAATCTTTAATCTGTAAAACATAATAATAATAATATGATGCTTTCAAACTTCTGTGGAATAGGCCCATATACAGCCTCAGAAGAATTCCTGCCAACAAACCGGATATTGTCCTTTTTGATAAAGCCAATGAATTTATTTATATCATTGAATTTTCTGTCCCTTTTGACACCAATGTGATTGGCAAGATTCAGGAAAAGCATGATAAATATGCAGACCTCGCCTTTGAAATGTCTCGCTTGCATCCCAAGTACACTGTCGTCAGGCTCCCCATTGTTCTCGGTGCCCTTGGTTTGGTACCTCCTGATCTCTTGGAGCAGATCAGGAGAGTGCCCGGGTTCTCCACCGGGAGTACAGCCCTTCTGACACTCTGGGTAATGAAGAAGGCTGCAGTTTTGGGGAGCCTTCATATTCTCCGGAAAGTTCTTGGTGGGTTCGACTAGGCAGCGTTTCCTGGGAGAAGTCCCATTCGCTGTCTGGGCTGCGTGTAGAGGGGGCAAGGGCCCTGAGCTGATGATGAGCTTTACCAGCCTAACTGTGCCAGGATCACCCGAACCCTCTCTGCTGCATACAATCTTTAATCTGTAAAACATAATACAACAAGCTACAAATCGAAGAGAGATCACGATACTAAAGACCATAGAGTCGTTTGCTTCCTGCATGGACCCTAGATGGATTGTCAACATCGCTTCAGCAAAATATATATATCAAACGTTTTCAGAGCAATTCACTGTCTTTTAAAACACAATTATTAAATGATAATGACCTGGTTAAATAGATCGTTCATTGTTTTTACACTGAAATATCGATCCCTTGTGATCGAAAAATCAACACTGTCAAGTAGGACATGACTGACCGTGATTATTTGATCACAAAGGATACAGACTTGAGAATCCTGACCTTTCAACCCCGGGTCTTGGTAAAATGACACGTTATACTATTGCATGGCTTGTATGTATTTCATTTTGGGTATTACACGTAGATAAGACACAGACTAGCTCGAAGTTGGCTGGTTCGTTGGTCTGTTGTTTTCACGCCGCTCTCAGCAATATTCCGATAAACGGCGGCGGTCTGAAAATAATCGAGTCTGAACCAAACAGTCTACTGATCAACAACATGTGCATCGATCTGCGCAATTGGGATACGATGACATGTGTCAACCTAGTCAGCTAGCCTGACCACCCGATCCTGTTAGACGCCTGTCTCCAAGTGAACAAGACTCTTTTACAAAATATTCGTAAACATGGATTCTAGTGAACACGAAAAAACGAATTGAATTCATGAACGGATGCGGTCTGATTTGCCGAATACGCGAGCTAAACGTAACAGAACCAGTGTTGTCTTATGTGCAATCTCTTCGTGAACAAGTATCTGAAGTGGATGCCTGTGCGAAAACTCAGTAGGAATTCAGAGAATGCAGTTTGATGTGTTTTACAGAAACCTGGTTGAATGATACTGTGAATACGAGTAGCCTTGAAATCAGCGGTTTCCGGCCAACAATACGTTTAAATAGGAACATTCAGAAAACTAGCAAAACTGTTTGGATGGTATTTGTATACATATAAACGGAAGAATGTGCAGAAAACTATGTGCAGTACAGGTTCTACAACAAAAGGTATTGAACTGATGTGTAAAGCCCCCGCCTATGCTATTTATCTTGAGAATTTGAACAAGTGTTCATTATGTACAGTCGTGTGTATTCCCACTGATGTTGATGGTGCTTATATTGTTGCCATAGAAAATCGTCTGTATGTTCTCAGAGAAGTGCTAAGTTCTCCTTAGTTATCATCAGAATTTGAAGTTTCCTGCATACAGAATAACACATTGGACCTGTGCCATGAAAATCTGAAGAATGCCTACAAGTCACATGCCATGACTCCAGTCGGAACATGGCTCATAAAACTATTCATCTGACACCGCCTTACAAACGCAAACTTGAAACCTAGAAGTCTAAAGTAAAAACAAATGATAAACGTAGCCATCAGATTCAATAGATAAAGTGCAAGAATGTCTGTACAGCTTCTGATATGTTTTAATTGTCATGTAGTGACATAGACAAGCTTCTTGACACCAACTGGTATCAACTGTTATGTTAACTCTATTGTGATTAAATCAATCAATATCTATCCTAGCAAATAACAAGTAGTGGGTGATTAAAACACAGATATATGTATATAAATTCCACTATCTACTGGAAAGAGCAGTTTAATGACGATATTTTGTTGCTGTAAACGGAGCTCATTCTGCAGTTGCCCGCAGTTGGTGCTTCACAGGGGTGCCCAGCTAACACACAACGTTTTTACAACGCTTTCTAAGGGTTTCATAAATGTTTCATGAAAACCTGTTTATGATGTTTCTAAAACGTTTTGTATAAACGCGCATGCGCGGTGAAAACCACATGTCATGTCAGGCGCCATTATGAAAGTGTACCCGACACATGGTCAATAAAATGAATGGAAACACGCCATTGTTTGTTCCTTTCGAAACGTGGTGTCAGAAGGAATCATGTAAGAAGCCACGCCGATGCCCTGAACGAACTTTGTAAGTGACATTGTGCCATAAACTGTGATTAATTTGCACGTCATGTCTGAATTCAAGGCCTCGGATAATTTCACCTTTGAGCGACCGCAAGGGTGGCCTGAGTGGAAACAACGTTTTCTTTGCTCTTTCACGCTGTCTAAATACTAAGATCAGGCTTGTGAATTACAAGTAAGTTCACTCGTCTACGCGATGGGGAGAGAGGCAGAACATATCATGAAGTCGTTTCACTTATCTAAAGAGGACAAAAGAAAGACTTCAATTTCGTGTTGAAGCAGTTTGATAATCACTTCATCCCCAAGAGAAACGTGAATCACGAGAGGGCACGTTTTAACTAGAGATCATAACAACCACCTGAATCTGTTGAAGCATATATTCGTCACGTATAGGAACTTGCTTAATATTGTGATTTTGGTGACAAAAGGGCGAATACATACTTGTATACATACATATTTGTACTGCCTATGATGATCAACGTAAACGTGTTATCCCTGTCGATGTTTTTCACCCATCCAACCTTGTGTAAATTAAATCGACTGATGAGTAATGCTACTCCTCTGGTTTTAAGAAATCTTGCCATGTTCATCTTCTATGCTAACAATCGTCGTCGCTGCAGCTTGAAGGCTGCCAATGTATAACGTTGTACCATGGGCCGATGGCCTACATTCACATGAATAAAGACTATACACAAACGTGATCGAATTGTCACATGAATTCTAGACCAATATTTACAAATGATTACAAAGATTACAAATGGAGGCTCAACTGGACCTTGAAACGGCCAGGGTGCTGACCGTGGTGCTACAGACGTCACAACAATGCCAGGTCAAGTCACCATAGCAACAGGGGACACAGACAGGGTGGATCAAGGAGCAGTGTGTCACATGCCCGGTAGCAAGGACATAACAACTCATCGACACCAAGTTGTGTCCAATGTGGATGTCAGCAGCACACAGATGAAGCTAAATCCCTTTCAAGATTCAAACGATGTTTGAAATGTCACAAAATGGGACATTTTCAACAAGTGTGTTGCACTAAGGATGTGAATGAAGGAAAACAAACGATTGTTATTTCCTTGGATCTGTTCAATGTGAGGAGACAAAGGCTTGGCACGTCAGCCTTTGTGATTGGAGGAAAGCCTGTCCCAGTAAAGATTGACACAGGTGCGGACACATCAGTGTTGCAGAGACACTCAGAGTCAAAATTAAGTTGAAACAGGATGTATGTTCCCTATAGTTTGTCTACTGCCAAAAGAGTGCAATTTCCCACTCCTACTCAAAGTAAGAGCGGAGTTAAAGCGCATGGTGCAAGACGGCATCATTGAGGAGGTGACACAGCCCGCTGAGTGGTGTGCTCCGATGGTTCCTGTTGTAAAACGCAACAAGAAAATCAGGATATGTGTGGACTTGAAAAACGTAGCTGTTAAACGCAAGAGGTACATTCTCCCTATCTTCGAGGACGTAATTCCAAAGCTGAATGGAGCTCGCTACTTCTCTGAACTTGATGCATCAAGCGGATTCCCCACCAGATTCCATTGGATCCAGAAAGCAGTCTCTTGATGACCCTCATCACCCCCTAAGGTCGTTTCTGTTTTAACATGTGCTCTTCGGAATTACATCCGCTCCAGAAATTTTTCAGAGGAAATATTGAGAAGTACTCAAAGGACTTGATGGCTCAGAAGCTATTATGGACGGTGTCCTAATATGAGGGCTAACTTTCGAGGAGCACAACAAGAGATTGAAGTGTCCTCGAACGTATGAAACGCTCAGGCATGAAACTGAACCGGGAGAACTGTGAAGTCTGGAAATCATCAATCAGGTACTTCGGACATGTGATTAGCAAAAACGGGGTCGAACCTGGCCCAGAGAAACCCAGGCTATCAGGGCCCTAACGGCACCAACAAATACCACCGAGCTTCGGAGAGCCAAGGGCGTGATAAACTATCTGGGACAGTTTTGAGAAAAGGTTGAACCCATTTTTCGTCCAACGAGTGACCTACTAAAAACTGATGCAATGTGGCCCTTGGGTCCTGCCCAAGATGCAGCATTCTTCGGTCGTCAGTGCTGACGCACTTACTTACAGCTAAGGAGCTTCACAGCATGGCGACAAACATTTGCCAATGGCATTCTATTCACGCACCTTAACTCCTGCTGAGACTACGTATTCTCAGATAGAGAATGAATGCCTAGCGAGTGTGTGGGCTTGCGAACAGTTTGCAAGATACCGGTATGGACTGGAGTCATTCCAACTACTGACAGACCATAAGCCACTGGTACCCCTGATCAACAAATCGGAATTGGATAAATCACCTATCATATGCACACGTCTGCCTGATGCGTCTGATGCGATTGAAAGTAGTAGCAGAACTTGTAGCAGAACTTGTAGCAGGAAAGAACATGGTGGTGGCAGACATGCTCTCAAGGGCGCCACTGAATTTTAAAGATAGTTCCAGTGCAGCAATGATGCATAACCTTGTAGAGGAAATGGAAGCCTTCACAGAGTCCGTCCTTGAGACCAAGCCTATGTCTGATCATAGACTCACAGAGATTCAGGATGCCACGACACAGGACAAGTAGTCACATCTCTGACTAGGAACGGATGGCCTGCGACATAGAGATGTCAGCACGAGCATAGTACCCAGTCAGAGGTGAATTTGCAGTGTCCACAGACATACTACTGTACAGAGACAGGATTGCGATCCCTAAAAGTATGAGAATCGACATCCTCAACATAATTCATGAGGAACACAAGGGACTAACAAAATGTCGTGAACGTGCCGCAATGAGCATCTGGTGGCCCAAACTCAATCAACACATTCAAGAAAAAGTATCGTCCTGTACGTTCTTCCAGGTTAACTTATCAGCACAGAGGAAAGAACCATTACAACCAACTTCCCTGCCTGATCGACCATGGCAAAGAGTCGCCGCCGATCTACGTACTTTCAAGGACATCAATACCTTGTAGTGATTAACGAATTTTCTCGTTATCTTGAAGTAGTGTACCTGAAGGCACTACATCAAAAGGTGCCATTGGACAGCTCAAGAGCATATTCTCACGATGGGGTATACCGGAGGAGCTCGTGACAGTTTGTAGCTCATGAATTGGTGCGATTCAAGAAGCAGTATGGATTCAAACACACAACCTCCTCACCTCACTTCCCTCAAGCCAATGGTATGGCTGAAGCTGTTGTGAAAATCGCAAAACTTGCTTTGAAGCAGACTGATCACTTTCTCGCTCTGTTAAGTTACAGGAGCACTCCAATACAGTCAACAGGGAAAAGTCTAGCCCAGTTGATAATGGGGAGGCAACCCCTTGGCTCTATCCCAGTGCTAGAGATGGTGTTGCTGCCCAAGTGTCTAGATTTCCACGTCGTCAGAAACAATGACAAGTGCCACAAGGAATCTTCAAAGAAATTCTCCAACCAACATCATAGTATGAAAACTCTGCCAGAGTGGAAACCTGGTGACGAAGTTCGTATCCAGATTGATAGAGAGAAAGGTTGGAATACACCAGGTGTTGTTCAGGGATGTGCCTTAACGCCTAGATTATGTGTAGCTCTGTCAAGGATGGAATTATGAGAACAATAGTTCCGCATACATACTAGTGACGTTTAATTCGTAGCTTCAAGTTGAAGTAATCAATTGGGATGAATTTTCCATGGACTTTAAATGATCATTTTAGTTTAAAGTGAACTGTTTAGCCTTAAAGATGAAAAGTTGATTTGGTGTTGACTTTCAGTTATAGTTGTGATAACAGGCTTCAGTGTCAGGTCAAAAGTATTTAGGAATGTGTTTACTTACCAGCAGTATGTTTATTGTTTGTTGAACCGTTAAGGTTTGGTGAATTTCCAAATGAGACAGTGACCACGTTGACAAGTTATCTCAAAGAAAGGGAGATCTCATCACAGCTAAGGAACAAGGATTGTTCCCTATATTTTTTCAGAAATATAACGACACGAGCCTTTTTTCTGCCCAAATCAAAGATTCGGATCTTTGGATCTGGGACGGTCACATCTGGGACACCACGGCAAAACCATGACTTAGGATAAGGCTTGTTTTACAATAGCGATAGCAACGGGCTGGTCGTCGCCGTATTTTTAATCTTCGAAGGGAAAGAACTCTATTTTCTACCGTCTACTAAATAACTTGAGTCTACTCTATATGTTGCTGGGAATCTGTTTCAACAAGGAGACTTAAATGCAGATTAATTTACGAAAGAAGACAAAAGGGTAAAAATATTTACATTTGAAAATACAATTGAGATATTACTTACAAGAATACCACATGTCACCATTGCGCCAGTCTGTAGTGCCTTGTGAAGTCGTTGGAACAGATCGTGGGGACGGGATGTGTAAGATTCAAGCAAAACAGTCTCAGCAACTCCTCCTGTTAGGGCCAGATAGGCCTCGCTCGGCAAACCACCATCATTTACCACACAGTATGATCCGTACATCCTGAACAATAAAATGTAAAGAATAAAAGGCAAACTTATTGCCAGTTACATTTTCACTGGTGTATGATTTGAACTTATGTCATATATTTGTTACTGACTGTTTTCCTTTCAGAATCAAAGCCCCCTGACGAACCGGGTTAGAATTGTTCTTCAGCAACCCATGCTTGTCGAAAAAGGTGTCTAATGGGATCGGGTGTTTGAAGCAGGTCACCACCGCATGCCAGTTGCTAGATGATTTCGCTAGATGACGTACGTACTGGCGTCAGTGCAACAACTGAGAGCTGAATGCTTTCACAACAGACAAGAAAATGAGAAAACACATAAACTTTGCGATCAATCCATGGGATACAGAAGCCATATTTGCAATAACTGATTCAGAAGATAACATGTTCCTCTTTTCAAATGTGTAAATATATTGATGACATCATCAGATAAATAAAATCGATTCTGGTATCACTCCAAGTTATCTATTGTGTTTTGTAACTTCGTTGCTTAACGCCACACTCCAGCTTTTTGATCGGTCCTCTGTAAATAGTTGAGTTTGGACCAGACAACCAGTGATCAACACCATGAGCATTGATCAACGCATTTGACATGTGTCAGCCAAGTCAGCGAGCCTGACAACCACATTCCGTTAGTCGCCTCTTGCGACAAGCATGGGTTACTGAAGATCAATTCCATCCCAGGTCTAACATTCTTCCAACATAAAACAAATAAGACCTATTGTTTCATATCCTCTCGTTTTGTATCGCTGGATATACACTGGATGACACTCATATATAAATTTCGGTATTGAATATGACAGAGAAATGAGGCACTGTTATCCTGTTCATTTTAGATAAAATTAACAAACAAGCATGTGGTCATGAGTTATCTCATTTGAGACATACGTACTTCGCTACAGCCTTCTCCACCAGGGAAACCCACAGTTCGTCGGAGGCTGTCCAAGACGCAGCACCATAGAGCTCAGGGGCGGCCTTCCCTTGATACAGGGGAAAAGAGTCATCGATATAGATGTCCACCCATTCTCCAAACTTCCACAGCTTGCAATGACAGATTCCTTCTGTCTGAGCGTATGATCCAGTGTTGATCACCTTAAATGCGACAATTGTCTGTAGTATATTCATAATTGTGAAGATGGCTAAATGTTACAATATTAGATTTGTCCACATTCTAAACTCGGAGAATCCGCTGCGTGTCATCATTCGAGACCAACTCGTGTTATTCCGGGACAAGCCGAATTGCGTCTTCTTGGAGGTTACGGGGACGTGGCGAGTGGTGACGAATGGCGTGTCAAATTTGCCAACGTAATACATCTTGCGAAATAACGAAATCATCTCTAGGTTATCACTTCATTTTTTACAGACCAGGAATATAGCTTAGTTTTCAATACAGCCAGGAACACAACCAAGTAATATTTAAAGTACACATACCTTTTTCAAAAGTCGAGGCTTGTCAGCAAGGTTTGACAGCATGGATAAGAACCAGCACGTGCCAAACCCTTTTGTTTGACATCATACCGTTCAGTACCATGAACAAAAAGTTGTGGATTCTGGAGAAATTTCTGAAATGAAAGAACCAACTTAGAGGCAGGACAGACACAGACGATGTATGTTGTCATTTGTGCAAAGATTTTCCTACCGCGGCGACAGAAATACAGACATATTTTAAACGGTATCGTATTGAAAAGGCCGAGAAGGGTATCGGGGCTCACTCACTCGTTAACTAAACATCGATAAATATCGGATACATAACCTTCAGCAAAAATGCCAAAAATGTCTCTGAAAGAAATAATTATATTTCACATCACTGGTGAGTGGTGACATGTTTTTGCATGGATTATTAACAAAACAACGTCCTAAGCAAAAGTTAGAAGAAGAACCTGAATAAAGTCCCAAATTGGTAAATTGTGTGAGGAAATTTTAACTTTCTTCTTTCACATAAGTTGATATACGTTATTATTGATTACACAATTTTCATATCTATAATCATGAATATGATTTTCCTATCGACGATACTTCCGATCGTTTGAGCCAGCCCTACTAAATAGAATGGATACTTTTAAGGATGGGTTGCTGAAGACCTATTCTTACCCGGATCTTCACGGGTACCGAATTAAGTAAACAAACATGTAACAACTCGCCTAAATAATGCTTTGAACTCGAAAATGAATGTTACACAGTTCATATTAAAAGCATCTGCTACGCCACGGCTTTATGTTACCGATATGTTTCAAAGTTATCGCCCCTTATGACAGCAGGGCCTGTGCTACTAGCATAATTTATATGAACTTACATGCGGTCTTTTCCACACGTATTTCTGGGTAGCACAGCTTGTTTCTGCTCTGCTTGGGGGAAAATCTTCATCTGTCCACGGGTCACGTTTAGTCTGGTTTGCCTGACACTTCGGTGTTTGGTCCTCAAATCTAACGTGGCATACTTCAAGGCTGATCCTTCTGGGTCTTCAGAATAGCCGTCCTGAATGTCAAGGTTCCTGAAAGCTCGAGACATGTCACCATACGAAGAAGCCATCTTCGTCCGCGTTCACACTCTACACAAAAAAGAAGCATTTACATCAACTGTCCCATAGGGCAGGCATAATATTTCAGCGAAGATATGCATCACACACGACAAAGAGTGAGTGAGTTTAGTTTCATGCCGTTTATAGCAATGTTCTAGCAATATCACATGGAGGTGATGAGAACAGAAGGCTGAGTCGTAAAAACAAAACGATTTCACTAAACTTGATAGTTTTCACTTTGACAACCCTCGACGATTTGGTCTTTGAAGATTTCATTTGACTTTATAGACAACAATTTGTAGGCAAGGCAAGGCAAGGCAAGGCAAGGCAAGGCAAGGCAAGGCAAGGCAAGGCAAGGCAAGGCAAGGTTATATCATCCCAATGTATAAATTCATACTGCACAGTTCATTTTCACTGAAATGTATTGAAATATCTTTATTAGAAATCAAAACTACAGTCATTTATGGTCAATCAGTCTGCATATCAGCTTATGTCTCAATAGCAGGAAAGTACACGTATTCGTGAAACATAACGTTAGATCTATTGGGGATCCATCTTGTTACAAGTGCAGTTAAGCATAAATAAGTTCACAGTGGGGTGTGAAGTAGGGTGGGATTAACTATAGTCTGTTCGTGAAAATGAAGCTTTGAAGAAGCTGACCTTCCTGATCCAGCAGTGCTTAGTTTCACGAATTCACGAACAACGTAACCGAAGACTGCCTTCAACTTGAGAAGGACTGCCTTAGGCCAACATCGTGACACCAGTGAAGTATGCAGACTCCATGTTGTTAATGCAACTTCAATAAAGGTGCTGTGTAAGGTGGTTTGAATATTTTATTGTGTACGTGTTTGTTGAATACATGACACGTTCTTTTTGTGATAGCAACTTCTTATTCTTTATCACGACGTTTCAGAGCTAATTCTTGCTCCTTCATGTGGTGAATGCTGAGTCAATGGACAGAGTGAATACAAAGATAAAACATGTTTACACAAGGCAAGATGGGAGAATGTACAAAGGTAACAATACAATCATTTAGAGTGAGTGAGTGAGTTAACATTTATCGTCACATCGGCAACATTTCAGCCATATCGTGACGAAAACAATTAACTTTATACAAGTACTTAATGGTGAATTGTAAAAACCTGTGAACGAAGGACAGTAAAATAACTAGACTATCACAGATTCGAATTTAAAACTAGTAATTAAATCTAAAACAGTTTAACTATAGATGACAATGCAATATAAAAACAGGCTATAGATCGCCAACAACTGAATGTAGATCACCATACTAAAGTACTGTCGGAAATAGAAAAAAACCCCTGTTTTTAGGGTGTTACTCTGTATCCCTAAAATTTACACAACTGAAAATAGCATATGTCGAAATAACCCACTAACTTGGGGTTCAGTGAGATGCGTAATAGGATATCCAGAAAAGCATGTTTACTCGTAAAATCGGGCAAAACTGTCCAACCAACATCAGAATGAGGTGCGCGAAAGATGCGTTTGTGAAAGGAGAGGGGGGGAGCGTGCCGTGAACTGATCCACTACCCACTCGAAGGGGGAGCAGGTGTGAAAACTTCGCACACGTGATTTTCGTGATCCTCGCAGTAATCACTTACTACGCAATGATTCGGAAGCATCGTGTTTCTGCTCGAGCATTTGTATACTAGTATCTTGAAACGTGGACTGTTAAAAGAGGATTAAACTCTGCAGGTATTTGAATCTTATCAAGTCGCACATGGCATTTGACAGAGTTTTGAATGTTTAAGTAGAGGAACAAACTGCTGGTTCCGGTTGCGCATGAAACCTAGGCGGTCGCGTGTTTGAGGCGCTCTCGCTACCCACGGATGACTATGCCTAAACACTGCTGAAAAACAGGCAATGTATATGAACTAAACCTTACAGTTGGAAGGCAAAGTATTGAAGGTAAACTTCTTTTCAATTTCAAAACCGTTCGATAAAACAATTGAAATACACACGCCACGTGGGGATGTCTGACACAGCGAGAGCAACACGTGCTACAGCGAACATGGAAGAAATTGTCCAAAACTCAGAAAAAAGGTTGGCTGCGCTAATTTCTAATTCCAAAACAGAACTTCAAGCTTCCATATATTCCCTTAAAAGTGAAATTTCTGACATTAAACAAACAGTTAGTGGGGTTGAAACGCCGCGGTCTCACAACATGATGACGATTTGAACTCTCTCCGTAACGAGATAGCTGAACTCAAGAAAGAAAAGTTGATTCTTGAGAAACAAGTGACTCTAAAAGATATACATGACCGGAAAAGTAATCTATTGTTTTATGGAATTCCGGAAGAACCCCAGGAAGACGCTGAGAAAACTTTGAGAAAGTTCATTACTAAATCGCTTAAGTTCAGTGAGGACCGAGCCGACACTATGTATTTTAAGATCGTGCATAGATTACCAAAATCTGAAAATCAACGCCAGAATAAGCCTTCTGCCCACCGTCGATGATTGCTACCTTCATTCATATGTCCGACAGAGACGCCGTATATGGAGCCACAAAGCTGTTGAAAGGTACTAATTCTAGTATTCAGACCGACCTACCAGCTCTCATGAAGAAGCAACGAGCAATCCTTGGACGCCAAGCGACTACTATTCGGGACAGAGGTCATATTGCAAACGAGAGATCCAACAAAACCTACGTCATCTTGGAAGAAATATGATTAAACTTTGAAAATCGTACAGTGACAGTCATCTAATATGAACTCCCAAGTCATAATGTAAACAAAGTTGACAGAAATGTTCTTTCTACAACTTCTATTGACGATATGAACCACTTGCACTCTAATATATAATCATATATGATTTCACGCCAAAATATTTTCACGCCAAATAGAGTGTTTTGCGTTGATAAGATATTTTATTTTTTGTTTGACCTAAGTAATTGTTGCATTTCTTGATTTTGAGTTTCAAACGTTTCAATTTCTTACAAATATAAATAGTTGGACTACAGGTATCTGCTACACGTGGACTGCGTGCAGATTTCACCGGCCTGGTATGAACACGTGGTCGGTCTTCTGTTCAGTTGGGATGACTCTGTTTGTGACTGTTTTTTGTGTTACTTTTTCGTATATGGATTAATATGGATTAACTTCATGCAATATAAATGTAAGTATCATATTTAAGCACATTTTAAGTATACGATTGACGTTAAAGTTGTCATCCGTGGGTACTCCGACACGAGTACACTTCCACTCCGCCAAAGGAATATGGCATTTTATTTTATTGAAATTTTCTTGTTGCATATTTTCCTACTCTTCATTACATTTCAACATGACGTTACCAGTAACAAAATGAAATTTGTTCTGTCAGATAACATTGTTTCTATGGAAAGTGTAAAACTTTGCTGCATCGCCAACTTTATGTTCCATTTTAACATACTATTATGGATACGATAAAAGTTACATCGTTAAACTGTAGAGGCTTAAATGACAAAGTTAAACGTAAGGAAATATTCAGATTTTTAAAAAAGAAACGTTCTTCAATCTATTGTTTGCAGGATGTACATTTCACTGAAGACATGGACAAACAGGTCACAGGCTAGGCTCGATTATTTCTTGGTTTCACACAACATGATTCCCTCCATAACAGATACGTCAATAGAGGCTAGTTTTAAATCGGATCACTCTCCTATATCAATTACCTTTACTCTAAATGAAATAGACCGCGGAAAAGGATTTTGGAAATTTAATAACTCCCTTTTGAGAGATCAAAAATATGTCACAATGGTTAAACATATAATCTCAGAAACGTGTTCACAATATGAAAACACAGATGCGAATGAAAATGAATTTACTATTGACGATCAGTTGTTCTTTGAAACATTATTGCTATTGATACGAGGAGAAACAATTAAATACTCATCATATAAGAAAAGAGAAAGACAGAAAGAGGAAAATAGTGTGACGATTGCCTTTTTGCAGTTTTAAATGTATTGGATATCTTTGCAAGATTCTCAGGACTAAAAATGAAAATATCGAAAAAACAAGGCTTATATGGATAGGATCAAAAAAGCGCTCGAGAATGAAACTTTGTCCTCAAAAGAATTTAACCTACTTGGTATAACATTTACGCTAGATACTGACGATATAGTCGAAGAGAATTACAAAGAAAAACTTAGAACATGTGAAACACTAATGTATATCTGGTCTGCCCGTAACGTTACTCCGCTCGGTAGAAATGTAGTTCTAAAATCACTAATCATTCCAAAACTAAATCACCTCTTTGGCACTATTCCTAAAGTTACAAACGCATTTCAACGAAAATGTTACAGATTTATTTGGAACAGTAAACCTGATAAGATAAAAAGAAAACAGATAATTAGTGATAAAAAAGATGGAGGATTTAATATGCCCAACATAAAAGGTATTATTACCCACGTGGTACTTCGTAAAGGGGTTTCATAACAAAGTATTCTGACACATATGTGTCATAACACCTTCGATTGATTTGATTGGCTAATACGTGAACTTTGACATTACCGGTACTACTTTCATCACTCATTCCATTCATGATTTTCATTCAAAAGTTTTCACACATTCTGAAAGCATGTAAAACGAGAACACTTCTATGAAATTAAATAAAATTTATTTTTTAGTGTAGTTACAAGCACAAGTGTTCAATCCTTTAATAACTAAAATGTCTGTTCATAAAAACGAAAATAAAACAATCTAAATAAGTAAACAAATACGTCTGCTAGGACTATCGGGAGTGTAAACAAATATGGCGTCGCCCGTAAAAGTTAATGACTTGGTCAAAATTGACGGACAACTGGTTGGAAGAGTTGTGAATATTATCAGGCCATTGAATACATTCAACGTGTATGTTGTCAGGACTGCACAGGGAGAAAAACAAGTACCTAGACACAGACTGAAAGTGTTGCCCGAGACTGTTTCGTGGGTCCCTCCCCCAAATTTGCCGATTGGCGATTATTGTGATCTGTCACAAGAACTGATTAATGAACTCTTTAGAGAAGATGAGAATGATGTAGATCTTGGCCTAGATGCTAATTTCGACACAAATGATGAAGTATGGAATAAAGAAATTGATGACTTTCTGACCAAAAATGAAAATGAAAACACGGCTAAGAAAACAAAATACGACTTGAAAACGGTCTCATTTTATTTTAAAATGTTCTGCAGGAACACAGATCTCTTGAAAAATCCCCCACTCGAACTGAATCAATTACTTTGCAAATTTTTCATGGATGCCAAAAAAGCAAACGGGGACGAGTATGAGCCATCGTCACTCCGCGGATTTCGATCAAGTTTGGACCGCCATTTGAAGAGATTGAACTATCAAAAATCAATACTACTTGACCCCGAATTCGATCTAGGGAGGTGTTTACGTGTAAATTAAAGCACGTGAAGGCGGAAGGGAAGGGGAACTTACCTAAAGCCGCCGAGGCCGCGTCACAATCCGAAATAAACAAACTTTGAGAAGTGGGTCAACTCGGAGAGGGGTCTCCCGATGCTATTCTTAACACATTGTGGTGGAATAATACCATGTTTTTTGGCTTAAGATCTGTCCGTCCACACAGAAATATGCTCTGGGGAGATGTCTCACTTCGAGTTGACAGTGAGGGTCAGGAGTATCTTGAGTACTGCGAGCGACAAACCAAGACCCGCACCGGTGCTAATCCGAACGACACAAGACGGATTCCCCCGAGAGTATGGGCTGTACCGAGTGACCCTGCCAGATTTCCGGTAGCACTGTACAAGAAGTATCGTAGCCTCCGTCCTCAGAATTTCTCTTCAAATGATCATCCATTCTACTTAGCTTCACACACAAAGGGTGTCCCTCGTGATGGCGAATCTTGGTTTAAGCGACAGCCAGTGGGGAAAAATAAACTTGGAAACATCATGAAATCCATGGCACAACACGCACACTTGTTAAGTGACAAACGCTTGACTAATCACAGTGAAAGAAAAACCATGTTGCAAACTCTCAGTGAACATAACTTTGCACCTACACACATAATGCAGCTTTCAGGCCATAAAAATGTTGCTTCTGTGAATTCATATGCCAAAGTTTCTAATGCACAACATCAAAAGATGAGCGGCACCTTGGTATCTCGATCACTGCCACTGTCAGCCGCGTCCACTTGTCCTCCCGCACAAAACGTGTGTTCTACTGCCACTGCCATGCCTCCCGTGGTTTCTCATCTAGAGGTTGATAACACTTCTCACAGTCAGAACACAATCGGCTGAAATCCTCTTCATTCGAGGTTGTAGGCAGTGTGTTTTCAGGCCCAATTTACGGTGGAGTATTCAACATAAACATCGAATCTGGACAAGTGGGAATTCCAGGCCGAGACGAGCCAATGTCCTCCGCCAAGCGTCGCCGTATTATCTACAGTGACTCGTCCTCCGATGAAGAATAGCGTGTAAGCAATGACAACGACACTAACCACAACTATTTGAGACATACAGTATCCTGTTATTCACATTTGGCTTCTTCAGTTGTGTGTGTTGCTCCTAATGCGTAACTTTTATCTGCTTGTTTGTGAACAGTTTTCAACACGACTATACCGACAGTGATGGCCGACTGACGTTCAGGCGATATTTAGGTCACGTAGTTAAATTAAAAAGGTTTACAGTTTACAAGTGTTTTGATGAATTACATTATTGTATTTGAAAGCAAATCCTCTAATGAAAAGAATTAAATTTTGATTACGACTTGATTCCGTCATAATTTATTTATTATCTAGACTAGTTAAAGGAACTACATTGCCTCTACGCAGCATACGTTTCCCTGGAGTGAAACGGTCGACATTCCAATCACCAATATGATCTATTAATCCGCGCAGTGCGGTTCTATATAGGAAAGCAAGATATTGCTTTATTTTAACAATATTTTCATTTTTAGAACGTGGGTAATAAATAGGATACAAAACTCGTTCCCCTTTCATATCAAGTTTATGTCCCTCGTGAAAAAATTTTGCTGTGTCACTCGCTAAAGCTCGTGACAAAGCAAAATTATTTCACTCGGGACATAAACTTGATATGAAAGAGGAAGCTCGTTTGATATCCTATAATTATACAATCGCAAAAATTGTCCATGCTAAGACGCTTTCTTTCACACTCTGCTAAATGGTGTAATCTTTTTATTTTGAATCTCCCAAAGATAGGTTATGGTAATATATTTGAGTATAGTTGTCAACATTTGAGAGATAAAATACTTCCTTTTATAAGAAATAATTACTACAAAAGATGTCGTTTCAGCGTGGTGGGACTTTACATCTCAACTTGAATTAAACTCTGAAAATGATAGTGATAATGAAATCCTTACTGAAAGTATATGGTATAATAAAAATATTATGGTAGAATGTAAAACGGTTTACTACAAAGAATGGTATGAACACGGGGTTCGCTGGATTAATGACTTGATTGATAATAATGGTAAATTCTTTCAATTTGAAACGTTTCTAAAACAATTTGACATAAAAACAAATTTTCTGAAATATCATGGTCTTATTTGCTCCGTTAAACAATATCTTCAAAAGATCAATACAGATTTAAAAACAATACAACGCAAACCAAACCCTGTTCTACCCCGATATATGCAACATCTCTGTAAGAATGTAAAACGGACGCAATACTTGTACAAAACTCTAATTTCAGGTCTAGGTTTAAAAAAACCAACATGCATCGAAATGGGAACTTAACATTTTATACGACGACATTATATCTAATGATTGGCCACTTTACAATACTATTCCCTTTAGATGTACGAAAGATACTAGATTACAATGGTTCCAATACAGACTTTTACACCATATCTTGCCAACAAACATTTTTTAGAAAAGATAGGATATAAAGACACTAGTAATTGTAGTTTTGCTCGAAGATATAGAAACAACTATCCACTTATTCTGGTCTTGCAACAAGGTAAACCATATATGGAAAAACTTGAGAACTGGCTACAGGCTAAAGCACAAATAAAACTCAAAATTGAAAAGAAACATGTAATGCTTGGTTACCCAAATAAAACAATGATCCAATAAATATCATCTTAATTCTCTTCAAGGAACTAATTTTTCGAAATAAGTTTAACAACATTATGCCATCTTTTTCAAGTTTTTCAACATAAACTGTTTGAATATTATATGTTAACAAAGTGTTCGTCAATCAATGCTTTTACACGTTCTGGTCGTCATAATTTATCTAAAAATGATTTTTCATCATTATACTGGAATATCACTGTTATTTGTTTGTATAAAATCTGGTGCAACAAAATCAAAAACTATAAAAAAAATGCCTCTAAATTGGGTAAACGGGGTTTCATTCGTGAGGTTGCCAAAACTCATTTGACTTCCGACAGCACACACACAGTGCACTTGCCAGCATGCTACATGTCATACTGCGAATGAATGACACGATGTACCAGTAAGTTTGTGCGTACTCGTAGGGAAAATTTGAATGTCATGAAAAATCGCAACAGTAACCAAGACAATGCCAAAAAACTATGAAAATGGCTACTGATGATTTGGGATATACAGGGAGTAGAGAAACAATGTGTAAATGTTTAAGAAAAAATGGTTTCAAATGGCGGAAAACTCGTTCATACATACAGGTCCTAAAGACATTGTTGCATGGCATTTGAGATATCTTCGCCAGTACCGTAAAGAAAAAACCGTCCAATCGTGTACATCGACGAAACATGGGTACACGCCCATCACACAGTATCAAAATGTTGGCAAACTGATGAGGAGGGAGCAGTTGGCGGTATTCGGGTACCATCGGGGACAGGTCCAAGATAAATTATAGTCCATGCTGGTACATGTGAGGGGTTTATTCCTAATGCTTCTTTGATATTTAAAGCCACACAAAAGAGCGACGATTACCATGACGAAATGAATGTCAACAATTTCTCTAAGTGGTTGCAAGAAAAACATATTCCTAATCTGCCCCAAAACTCAGTAGTTATAATGGACAATGCCCTTTATCATAGCAAACAAATAGACAAAGCTGCAACAACTGCCAATCGGAAAGATGAAATCAAATCGTGGCTACAAGGCATGATATATTTTTACACATTCAATGTTGAAGGCTGAATTGCTGGCACTTGTGAAATCACGTCCGCGCGGTCCCGTATATCATGTCGATGAAATTCTGAAAACCCATGGGCATATTGTTCTCCGATTACCCCCTTATCACGCCGATTTCAATGCCATAGAATAAATTTGGGCGAATTTGAAAAATTGGATTGGGTCCCAGAATTTAGATTTCAAAATGGCTTCTGCACAGAGGGCTTGCGAAGAACAATTGTCATCTATTGGCCAGAATTAATGGTCAGACTGTTGCAGACATATGATGGAAATTGAGGATCGTTACTGGCATCGAGAAATTGCCCTAGAGGATGAAATCGAAAAACTTGTCATCGAACTTGGCGTCGATACTGATGACAGTGATATTGGTGACGAGTAGCAGATTCAAGAGACTTATATGTAGCAAAAAGCAAATAAACTACCACTGAGCAATACAATTACTAAGTTTTGTTGTTGTTTTTTATTAGTACCCCGTTTTGAATTTACATAACGTTATTTCATTCCCCTCGAGGACAGCACAAACGTATTATCCATAAAACATTCATACACACAGAACCTAGGCTAGGACAGAAAGTAACCTTTTGGTACTTTTTTTATCGTTAAACACAAAAAATATTCGAGTGTTGTACTGGGTTGTGTATGAAAATCGTCAACCGCAAAATAGCAAATAGAACCCGTTCCACAAGAGCGAGAGTAGACTGACACGCTTCACAGCAGTTTATCGCTTTACATACACTCGGCCCCTTAATGGTAAAATGGACTGCACCGCTATTCAGATTCATGTGCTGCCTACAGGCACAAGGGGGCATCTCAAAGATTTGTGTGCATTTTCATGTTTGCTGACGATGTCTCACTTATTGATTAACATCTTACGTGTCTTTTCTTTATGTTGAGATATATAAAATAGTGTGATACCTGATAACCATAGAAACGCATCGTTTTAAATGTCTCAAAATATATAGGTGACATGACCACCCAATCACGAAGATCGACAGGACTAGATATAATTTGTAATTTGTCATGGCATGCCGTGTACTTCCCCATTATAATTGCCCTAAAGGATTATCTTATCTTAGCTGATAACTGTATCCCCTAGCCCGACCCCAACGATCGTCGGCGACACCCCTCCAGCTTTTGCTTTTGAGACGAACCATCATATCTGTTTCTTTTTATAGTGACAGTGAGACTCCATTGAAGCTACATCCTTAATAGTTTCAGCATGAAAGTTATTATTTTTGACGCCAGCTATCGTTTATAAATGAAGCTACGTCTAATTTCAAATTGGGCATTTCAAAAGTGTCCTTTGTAATACAATATCGTCGCTCACTAATTTGCATAGAACCATGGTCTGTTCCAAATAAATCGTTTTGGACTTTGAAAAAACCGCATTGCTCATTTCTGCACTAATCTCTCCTCAGTACAAAAGTCCTTTTTCTACGTTTCCTATGTCCCTACCACTGAGAATGTAGTTAGGCCGAACTTAGTTTAACAAATATTTCACACTTGCACATATCAACTACATATATTGTTGAGATAAATGAGAAAATACAGTTTTTTTTCTATTTCCGACAGTACTTTAGGGACTATGGGGACTTACAGTACATTTGCTTCCTGCATGGATCCAAGCTGGATTTACACCACCCCTTCAGTCGTTAGCAATTTAGCAAATCTAGCCATGCATTAAAAGAACAGGTATTCTACGATTAAAAAAGTGGAACGTTTTAATTGACTTCGAATGTTTTGGGACTTGTCAGGAGGACAATAATCTTACAGTACTTTAACCCCCACAATCATTAAGAGAGGGTTATTGTACAACGATTACAATATATTGTAATGCCTAAGCCAATACATATATATTGTTATCTTTGTACATTAATCCTATCTTATAGGGTATTCTAACCATAAAAACGTGCCGTCATCTTCGTCCAACTTCTAAATGCCTTTCAAAAACTTCGTAAACGGAAACCAGTCGCAAAAATTGCCATGAGAAGGACAAGACCCGAATACAATTGTAGGTCACGAATGTCACCCCAGATTGTGTCTCGCTATTACCCGTCACATTACTTAGTGAGTGAGTGAGAGAGTGAGATGAGTTTGACGCCGCTTTTGGCAATATTCCAGCAATATCAATGCGGGGGACTCCACAAATAGGCTTCACCAATTGTACCCATGTTGGGACTCCAACCACAAGGCTGCTCCACCACCCTACTTGGTATTATCACTAACAGAGAAAATGCCGACAGCTGGAACAACGCTGACGCACGAGTGGTGTATGAAATGATCAGCAGTCCCAGTTGGTAAAAGTGTAGACGACGTTTATTGATTTTGTTTTTCCAGGTATTTCTCGCAAGAGTTATGCTGAATTGAATTGACAGGCGTGTTGTAAGAGTTAATGATTTCTAAGAAGTCAGTAACAACCGAAGCCTTTTTCCTGCACTAAAATGGTTTATGCAATCATAAAACTCAACTAAAGGTAGCTGTAAGATGAGGCATAAATGAGTGAGTGAGTGATTGAGTTAGTGACTGAGTTAAAATTTAAAGTTTCATCGGCAGTATTTCAGTCATATCGTGACTAAGAAAGTTGTACATATATAAATGAATAAAAAGAAAGTTAGCAAATACACTTACCTGTCTGCAAAGGACAGTAAAACAGCTAGACTATCACAGAAATACATTTAAAACTATAATTAAATCTAAAATACTTGAACTGTAAATGACAAGACAATATAAAAACGGGCTTGAGATCGCCAACAAGTGAAGGTAGATCACCATACTAGGGACCATGGGGACTTACAGTACCTTTACTACCTGCATGGACCCTACTGGGTTTACACCATCCCTTCAGCTGCTGGCGATTGTAAGAAATGGTAGCCAAAATTAAAATAACAAGAATGCTACGTTTAAAAATCCTGGTAAGTTTGAACTGACTTTGACAATTTTGAGACTTAAGTACCATCTCAGGAGGACAATAATTTTACAATACTTCAACCCCCCTTAGAGCCACTAATAATCTGAGTTATTAATTTAAACTTCCAATCATAAAATATTTATCTATTTACAAATCAGTTAACAAATCTAATTCTTTTAAAAATGCAATAATTAAATGAGAACCTATATTATTAAAAAGATCCTTCATAGTTCGTGATTTGATGTAGATATCCCTTGTGATGGAATATTCAACACAGTCAAGGAGGACATGCATGATCGTGATTCTTTCATCACAAGGGATACAAAACGGAGCATCCTCGCGTTTCAATAGGTACTCATGATTATATCTTGTGTGGCCAATACGACATCGTTGTATGATGATCTCTTCAAATCTGGACAGACAAAAAACTGATAAACCAATTGCCAAGGAGGGGAAGAAAGAAAACGGGAAGGAGAGATATTTTCTTGCTCAATGCCAGCAGCAGAAAGGCAAGGTTTGACTCTTAGTCCCAGAGGCGGAACAAGAGAATACATTTTATTGTATAGATCCTCATACAGAGGATTAAAAACCGTTAAATGCAGGATTTGACTCATTAGAATATAGTTTTGTTACATTATGGAAGGATAATTTTATACGGCGTTGTGTGAGAGATGGCTCATCGGCCTCGACGTAGAGACTGTCAACAGGAGAAGTTCTAAAGGACCCAAGACAAAGTCTTAGACCTTGGTGGTGGACAGAATCTTACAGTCTTAGGTTGCTTTTGCAGGCTCCACCATAAACGATGAAACCATAATCAAGTTTGAAAAGTACCATTGATCGATATAGATGTAGGAGGGTAGCTTGATCCCCTCCCCACTTAGAATTGGAAACAAGTCAAGTGCCTTCAGGTATTTAGTTTTAAGAGATTTAATAGAAACGTTAAGAGTGAGTCAAAAATAATACCCAAGAACTTGGCCTCCTTCACAACTTTGATGGCTGTGCCATTTAGAGATAGTTCAGGGTCTTTATGCGGTTTGTATTTACGGCAGATATGTATACAATAAGTTTTTGATTTAGAAAATTTGAAGCCATTTCCAAGACACCATTTATTTATTTTGTTTATAAACAACTGTAGTTGCCGTTCAATAGTATGCATATTTTTACCACGACAAGAAATATTGAAGTCATCCACAAAAACTGATCCATCGATTGAATCATTTAAAACCTTGGATAAACTGTTGATCTTGATACTAAATAAAGTCACAGACAAAATACTGCCTTGTGGGACACCCTTATCCTGATTGTAATGATCAGACAGGGTAGAACCCACGCGGACTTGAAATTGTCTGTCATTTAAGAAGTTAGCTATAAAGTGAGGCAGACGGCCTTGCAACCCGAAGCCATGTAAATCTTTTAAAACGCCACATTTCCACGTAGTGTCATATGCTTTTTCAAGATCCAAAAAGATAGACATAGGGTGTTGTTTATCAATTATAGCGTTTTTAACAAATGATTCCAAACGCACTAGGTGATCGACAGTACTTCTGTTTTTACGGAAACCACATTGTATATCTGTTATAAGGTTATTTGTTTCCAAGTACCGATTAAGGCGATTATTTATCATGCGTTCCATGGTTTTGCAAACACAGCTAGCTAGTGAAATCGATCGATAATTGGACGGATCCGTATGATCACGACCAGGTTTAGGTATTGGTACTACTATAGCGTCACGCCACGAGGAAATAAATTTCCCACCCGTCCAAATATCATCAAAAATGTGTAAGAACGTCTCTAAACATGATTCTGGTAAGTGCTTCAGGAGTTGATAATGTTTGTTATCAGCACCTGTAGCAGTATGATGAGCTTGCACAAAAGCAGTATGGAGCTCATGAATAGAAAATGTTTCATTATAATCTTGTTTAACGAAAGTTTCACCAAGTTTATTCGCAATATCTGATTTATTGGTAAGTAATTGATCTCCATGTTTAAGATGATGGACACTAGATTTAGTACCTTTACCTTACATTTTCTGTACCATGTTCCATACCTTGGACATGGGCGTTCGAGAATTTATTTTGGATACATAATTTTGCCAAGATTGGCATTTATTCTGTTTAGTGATTGAGTATGGTTTTACGCCTCCCTCAGCAACATTCCTGTAATATCACGGCGGGGAACACCAGAAACAGACTGCACATATGACACATGTGGGGAATCGAACCCTGGTCTTCAGCGTGACGAGCGGTTGTTTAAACCATTAGGTTGCCCCACTGCCCTGTTCTGTATAATCTACAATAGGAATCGTTGAATACTGAGGACAGATTACTGTTGCAACAGAATATGTACTTTCAAGGAATGAAATTTGCAATATTTACAATTCATTTAAACACTTCGAGAACGGAACTAGTGCAGCTGATTTCAATCTAAACTTTATACTTTCATTTTGGCGATTATCATTCGATGATTATTTTCAGTAAAATTTTAAAATAGAAAGCACCTGCCATCTCAATGCTACACTCTTTGTACATGGATCAATTATGAGGAGCGATCTCATCTATTGAGGAATAAGATATATTGTACACAATGAAATATTTCCTCACGGTCAGCGTCCTTCCAAAGCCATTGATCCGTACGACACTGCTGATGATATCAAACTACCTGTAAAGACTGTCGATTTTCGCTTTAATAGGACTTTCCCGGAAAACTATTTATAGCTTATGACTCACGTAATAATCGTGACTACCAAGTATGACAACTGACGGTTTGAGATGTGTTGCATTGAGAGAGATAGGACAATACACAGTGAGAGATTCAAATACACACACGTGTGTTTGTTAATGTAACCTCTCCAATGTTTCCAATTGAGTGCTTTCTCTGACCATTTACTCATAATTCGATCCACATATATTTCTTAACTCCCATTTTGGTTAAAAATCCTAGCGTTGATTTGATAGCAAATTAGCAAATCTACAGTAGACATGACACAACTTCGACAAGAGCTTCATATCATTGACGAATACAGTTGGTTTTATGAACTCTGGAATGACCATGGCAGCCCAAACGGAAATAAACTTCGAACATACCGCCTAACCAAGAAAGATTTGAAGCGTGAAGCTTATGTCTTGACTAGACCCATTCCCCGATCTTCAAGAAAGATGTTCGCACTTCTTCGTTGTGTCAGCCTGCAATTAAACATTCAAAAAACTCAGGTACAGTCGACCCGCAATACCTCTCAACGCTAGGGTGTGTCCCTTCTGCTCGGATAAAATAGAAAATGAAATCCATTTTCTTGTAGACTGTGATATGTACAACGACCTGCGATACGACCTGTTCCAAACAATGCAACAATCTGATGTATATCCATCCTTCAATAACGCCTCCTCAGTTACTAAATTTACACATCTATTAAACACATCAGACATAGTCCATCACCTCAGTGATACAGTTACAAATATGTATAAGCGGCTTCAATCATTATCTTAAATATTATACACTACTTGTGGCACCCATGAAGGGCCACCTCCTCGTGGTGGGTGCTGGGTCACGCTAAGCGCCCTTCAACCCCCCGTTGTGGACCCGGGGGGATATTTGGTCCACCAACCCGTTTGCCGTGGGTTGCGCCCCTGTGTCGGTGGAGGAAGGTAGTCTGGTGGTTGAGGGCACTGGTTCCAGGAACAGTGTTCCTTTGCCCAACACACCACTTCGGCCCTGACTTCACCTAGACGGGTGGTAGAACTGGCCCGGTTCTATCAATCGGCTGGTCACGCCAAGCCCTGTGCATGGTAAATATTTTTGCACACTTTTGACTTTTCGAAATTTTATTGTTTGGTCTTGGCAATTTCCTATTTGCTAAAAGCACAAGTTATTACTTTTGTAATTTGCCTAGAGTCCTATGCCAGAAGGCGGTGGCTCATGGGCCAATCTGGTAGGATCTATCTTTTCAAGGTATTTTCCTGCTTGAGTATACTCTCCTAGTATCCTTGGTGCCGTCTGTAGGAGATCCACAGACATACGGCATCGTCCTCGTTGATACTCCATGGTGGGTGGGGAGCTAGGAGAGTGAATCATATTCAATACAATCATGGCACCACCACTTAAAAAAACGTTCGCATGAATCAGATGATTCATTCTCGTCGGAGGACGAGGCTGCTACAGCTCTCACAAATCCTGCAAATTGGTCTCGCTTTCTTGTAATGTCTGATCCAAATAATGGTTCCCTGAAATTGAATCCTTTTGCTATTGCGAAAGGCATAGAAGGTTTGGCTGGCGAAGTCAAAGAAGTTAAAAAATTACGATCTGGATCTCTTCTTATTGAATGCAAGAAACAAATACAATCACAAATTCTGCTTTCAACTACCTCTCTGGCCAATGTTCCTGTAAAGGTTTCATCTCACAGGACACTCAACAATAGCAAAGGCATCGTCCGTGATGTAGGACGTTGCTTATCTGACATGACTGAAGCAGACATTGTTTCAGAGTTGCACTCTCAAGGAGTCACTGCTGTACAACGGTTTACGTATAAAAGAGAAAATGAAATTCTGAAAAGCAACACATACTTGTTTACTTTCTGTCTTCCGTCACGCCCTAACTCACTTAAAGCTGGTTATTGTCACCTAAGGGTCGATGCCTACATTCCGAATCCCCTGAGGTGTTACAATTGCCAAAAGTATGGCCATGGCTCCAAATCCTGCCATAATCCAGCTGCCTGCCACCGATGTGGAGGCAAATGTGAAGACAGTACCCTCTGCAATAACCCGTCTGCTTGTGTAAACTGTTCTGGAAGTCATCCCTCGTCTTCCAGAGACTGCCCGACATGGAAACTCCAGTCAAAAATTTCACGAGTCAAACATGACCGAAACATCACCTTTTTCGAGGCTAAGAAATATGTCATGGCTCAGGAAACTCCGGGCCCGTCTTATGCCGCCGCAACTGCTTCTACTTCTACTTCTACTTCTGCTTCAACTTCAACTCCCAAATCTATTCCATGTAAATCGGTTGCTTGCCAGACAGAATACACTTGGGCAAAATCCTCTGCTCCAACTTTGATATCTGCCGCAGTACATGCAAAACCTACACAAACATCCAGTTCACAAACATCAAATCAGTCCACGACATCCAGCGATAAGGATTCGTCCTCATCTCACACAAAAAACATCATCTCCAAAATCAGACAACAATGAGAAACAAATTGAAAAAATCAAATCCAGATCTAGAGCTGAAACAATTAAAAAGAATCAAAGTGGTAGAACCCCGAAAGGGGCTAATAATCCGGTCCAACTATTTAACAAGTTTGGATCACTCGAGGACATGGATGTGTCCGACCAGAACCATGGTAGGACACATAGCTTGTCACCTTCGAGGAAAGTAAGGGGTCGATATCCCGTTAATCCCCCGAAGAGATAGTTTCTTCACCTCTAATACAGTGGAACTGTAGAGGACTCAGGACGAATTTGAATGATTTACATCTTTTAGTCCAAGATTTTAAACCGTCAGTATTCTGCTTACAAGAGACATATCTAAAGCAGACTGATCATTTTGACTTACGTCAGTATAATGCATATCATTGTTTTTCTCCTCTGGGCGATAGAGCCACTGGAGGATCTTCAATCATTGCTCGGAATGATGTAATCCACAGCCCGGTTGTACTTAAAACCAGTCTCCAGGCCGTTGCAGTAAGACTCACTTTGCATGTTGCAGTTACTCTGTGCTCTCTGTACATTTCGCCTTCATCATCTGTTCAGCAGGTTGATCTTCAGGCTCTGTATGATGAACTCCCTAAACCTTGTATAATCATGGGCGATTTAAATGGGCACAATCCACTCTGGGGCAGTACTAATACAAACACCAAAGGTAAATTACTGGAGGATTTCATTTCAAATAATGATTTATGCATTTACAATGACGGTTCAACTACGTATTTACATCCTGGCACAGGAACATATTCAGCTCTTGATTTATCTATTACTGACTCCAACCTATTGAGTGAATTCGAATGGTCAGTCCACGACGACCTTTGTGGAAGTGACCATTTCCCAACGATACTAACACCTGTGAATCCATCTGACGTTCCTCCATCATCGAGATGGAATTTTAAAAAGGCTAACTGGCCTTTATACGAATTTTTCTGTGCTGACAGACTCAAGTCTGAACTTTTTACTGATATTCCTGATGCCATACAATGTTTTTCAGATGAACTAAATAACATAGCTGACGAGTGTATCCCAAAGTCCTCTGCAATTCCACACGTACGAAAACCATGGTTTACCAACGAAGATACAAAAGGCAAGGAAGGCAAGGAAGAAAGCTGAGCATTATTTCCGTCGCCATCCTATGGTCCACAATTTAGACAAATTTAGAATTTTAAATGCTAAAGCACGACGTACTTTCAAGCAAAATTAACGCCACTCTTGGCGAAACTATGTCTCAAAAATCAATTCGCGCACACCGATATCAAAGGTGTGGAATATGATTCAGAAAATAAAGGGTAAGGGCTCTAAATCTAGCATTCACCATCTCAAAGATGGGAATCAGTTATTGACTGATACATCAGATTTGCAAATAAACTTGGTGAGACGTTGGCCAAACATTCTTCCTCATCTAATTATGTACCTGAATTCCAAAAATATCAAAAACGGCTAGAAAAGAAATCTCTTAATTTCAATTCAGATAATGGGGAAGACTACAATGAAACATTTTCGATACATGAGCTACATACTGCTCTTGACCAGGCTCACGATACTGCTTCAGGGGCTGATAACATACATTATCAACTCCTGAAGCACTTGCCTGAATCATGTTTAGAGACGCTCTTACATGTTTTTGATGACATTTGGACGTCTGGAAATTTTCCTTCGTCGTGGCGGGACGCTATTATTGTTACCATACCTAAACCTGGACGTGATCATACTGATCCCTCTAATTATAGACCAATTTCACTAACTAGCTGCGTTTGCAAAACCATGGAACGTATGATCAACAATCGACTTGTTTGGTACTTGGAAACCAATAACCTTATAACTAATATACAATGTGGTTTCCGTAAAAACCGTAGTACCATCGATCATTTAGTTCGTTTAGAGTCTTTTGTGAAAAATGCCATAATTAAAAAACAACATGCAGTGTCGATCTTTTTCGATTTAGAAAAAGCATACGACACAACATGGAAACATGGGATTTTAAAAGATTTACATGACTTTGGATTACGAGGCCGTTTGCCTCAATTTATATCCAACTTTTTCAATGACAGGCAATTTCAAGTCCGAGTGGGTTCAACCCTGTCTGACCATAACAATCAGGATCAGGGTGTCCCACAAGGCAGTATTTTGTCCGTCACTTTATTTAGTATCAAGATTAACAGTTTATCCAAGGTTTTAAACGATTCAATTGATGGATCACTTTTTGTGGATGATTTTAACATTTCTTGTCGTGGTAAAAATATGCATACTATTGAACGGCAATTGCAGTTGTGTTTAAATAAAATAAATAAATGGTGTCTTGAAAACGGTTTTAAATTTTCCAAATCCAAAACTAATTGTCTACACTTTTGTAGAAAATATAAACCGCATAAAGATCCAGAACTATCTTTAAATGGCACTCCCATCAAAGTTGTTAAGGAGGCCAAATTCTTGGGTCTAATTTTCGACTCCCATTTAACTTTTTTGCCACATATTAAATCACTTAAAGCCAAATGCCTGAAGGCACTCGTTTTGTTGAAAGTTATTTCCAACTCAAAGTGGGGAGGGGATCAAGCTACCCTCCTCCACCTGTATCGATCATTGGTCCGCTCGAAACTTGATTATGGCTCCATCGTAGACTTTGTCTTGGGTCCTTTAGAACCTCTCCTATTGATAGTCTATATGTTGAAGCAGATGAGCCTTCTCTTACACAACGCCGTATAAAATTAACTTTACAGTATATTACAAAACTTTATTCCCATGAGTCAAACCCTGCATATAACTGTGTCTTTAATCCACTATATGAAGATCTGTATAACAAGAAGCCTTCTCTTGTTCCGCCTCTTGGAATAAGATTGAAACCTTTCCTTTCTGCTGCTGGCATTGAGCTAGAACATATAGCTCCTTCCCGTTTTCTTTCTTCTCCGCCTTGGCAATTGGTTAGGCCTGAAGTTGACCTAACATTAACTACATTTAAAAAATCAGAAACAAATGAATTACAGTATAAACAAGAATTTAGTCAATTAAGAAATAAATATAATACATATAAATCCTTATTTACAGATGGGTCCAAGGATGGTGGCGCGGTGGCATGTGCCACTGTCATTGGATCCAAAACAATATCTTCTCGACTTCCAAATAACAGCTCTATTTTCACAGCAGAAGCAAACGCCATCTTAACAGTTCTTAAATATATTAATAAACATCGTAAATATAAACAATATATCATCTTTTCCGATTCTCTTTCGTGTCTTCAGGCTATTAAAAATCTTTCTTGCAAACATCCACTTTTATTAGAAATTATTGAATTGTACAATGAACTTGCTACTGGCCAATGCGACATCGTCTTTTGTTGGTTACCCAGCCACGTTGGCATTTCTGGGAACACGATGGCTGATATTGCTGCTAAGGCAGCACTCATCAAATCTGTGACACCACTTCTTATTCCTTACTCTGATTACAAAGCCAGCATTAGAGCATACATCCGCGATCTAATGCAGAAGAAGTGGGACACCCAAGTAGGTATTAATAAATTACATGCAATAAAACCCTACATTGGTTATACCTACTTGGGTTGTCAGTCCAGATTTGAAGAGGTCATTATGCGGCGATGTCGCATTGGCTATATACTAGATATACCCATGAATATTTGCTTAAAGGCGAAGATCCTCCGTTTTGCATCCCTTGTGATGAAAGAATCACAGTCAAGCATGTCTTGCTTGACTGCATTGAATATTCCATCACAAGGGATATCTATTTCAAATCCAAAACTCTGAAGGATCTTTTTAATAATGTCAGTTCTCATTTAATTATTGCATTTTTAAAAAAATTAGATTTGTTGAGTGATTTGTAAATATATATATATTTTATTATTGGTAGTTTAGATTAGCAACTGAGATTGTTAGTGGCTGTATCCTCAAAGGGGGGTTGAAGTATTGTAAAATTATTGTCCTCCTGAGAGGGTATGTAAGTCCCAAAACATTTAGGCAATCTAAGTGTACCTGTTTTTTTAATCGTAGAATAAGTGTGTTTTTAATTTATGGCTAGATTTCTCTTCTGTCGCCAATGGCTGAAGGGATGGTGTAAATCCAGCTAGGGTCCATGCAGGTAGCAAAGGCACTGTAAGTCCCCATGGTCCCTAGTATGGTGATCTACCTTCAGTTGTTGGCGATCTATAGCCCATTTTTACATTGTATTGTCTTCTTTAATTGGAATGTTTTAACTTTGTTCGCTAGTTTTATATTGATAACTGTGATTATCTAGTATTTTTACTGTCCTTCGTTGACAGGGTTTTATATATTATATGTCTGTATTACAAATTTAGAACTAGTTTTAGTCACGATATGGCTGAAATATTGCCGATGTGACTTTAAATCTTAACTCACTCACTCACTATACACTACTTGTATCTTAAGTTATACCCTTTCATTCATTAACACTAGATGAATGCATCACGTGGTGTATGAATGTTGTGCATTGTAACAACTGTACGAATGTACGTAACTGTATTGTATTTCATTGTATTGTTTGTATTGTGTTCAATGGTATTGTGTGCAGGGTATCTGTATGTATGTGGGTATACAATGTATGATTATAATACATGTATATTTTTGTGTATGTGTGTATGTATGTATGTATGTGTGTATGTATGTATGTATGTATGTATGTATGTATGTATGTATGTATGTATGTATGTATGTATGTATGTATGTATGTATGTATGTATGTATGTATGTATGTATGTATGCATGCATGCATGCATGCGTGTATTATGTGCGGTTGTGTGGCTGTTTTGCATATGTTTTTGTATGTATGCATGTTTGTTGCATGTATGTTATGTATGTATGCATACCTGTACGTGTTAACTTCAAATGTATACGGTTATATGTGTGTACATACTGTAGGTTTACAATGTTTTCGTTGGTTTAAATAGTCTCTCATAACCAAACGGGTGGTTTTTGTACTTTCAAACTCCTCCAAAAATCTTGCATTAAATGACAATGTACAGAAAGTGTGACTCAAATAAACATTATCTCTATCTCTTTGATATCTTGAATAAATCTTAAACTATATATTTAGGATAAAACCAATGAAGATGTTAATTCCACCATTATTGTTTAGCAGTAGTTGCTTTTATTTACCAAACTAACAAAACAGATATACAGCCGTCACTTACGAACTATTGAGTAAATTTATGTTAGTGATTAATGTAACTGGTTAATCTTTAAAATAATGTTTTGAATCGAAGTTACCTATAAAGTGTATGAAAGACAAATTTCAAAGTCATTACAGGAGACAATATATTTTCATCATCATAATTGTACTTGTAGTGTATCATAGAGATTTAAGTCGTTTATGAAATACAACAATGTGTGAGTCAAATATTTCTACAGGGCCACAAGTGGGTCATGAAAGGACTGACCTGCATGGGTGAATAGATGCTTGCAGCACTCGCGCCAATATATATCAACTATGTTAATCTGTCAGATCCTTCAACAGTATAGCAGTTGAAACGACAGCAGTACTAATAGCAAAAACGATGTATTGGCTGGGACATGGGCGAGAAAATATACAACTACAGTTGAGACACAGAGGTGGGCCATAACTCAAGAAATTACCAACAATTTGCAGCTCTTTAATTATTAAAACAAATCATCTGATTGTTTTTTAATCGCAGTTAATATTACATTTTAATGCTTGTCAATCTAGTGCATTTCATCTGTTAACAGGGAAGAACTGCATGTCAACTTCTTTATTATGAGGAATATAATGTTTCGGATTATAAATATTATTACTGCTTCGTCAGGTCAATGGAGTGGGTGAGTGAGTGAGTTAAAATTTAACGTCACATCGGCAATGCTGCAGCCATATCGTGACGAGAACAGTTGATATCAATATTCAAATCAATAACTGTGTACAACGTAAAAACCTGTCATCAAAGGACAGTAAGACTACTAAAATACCACAGCTCGTAATTTAAAACTAGTATGCTATCATCAAAATATATCGGGAGAGACAACAACACAATATATGAACGTGCTATAGATCACCAGCAACTGAAGGTTAATCACCATACTAAGGACCACGGGGACTTACAGTACCTTTGCTACCTACATGGACCCTAGTTGGATTTACATCATCCCTTCAGCAGCCGGCAATTGTAGTCAAAATTTAGCCATAATTAAAATCATAAAAAATCTAGGCTTAAAATCCTGGTAAGTTGGAAATTTACTTTACAGAGTTTTGGGACTGACGTACCCTCTCAGGAAGACAATAAGTTTACAGCACCTTAACACCCCTTGAAGGTACAGCCACTAACAATCTGAGTTGTTAATTTACACTTCCAATCTTGAAATATTTATCTATTTACGAATCTGTTAACAGATCTAATTCTTTAAAATGCAATAATTTAATGAAAACTTATATTATTAAAAAGTGAGTGAGTGAGTTAAGTTTGACACCGCACTCAGCAATATTCCAGCTTTATGGCGGCGGTCTGTAAATAATCGAGTCTGGGCGAGAAAATTCAGTGATTAACAGCATGAGCATCGATCTGCGCAATTGGGAACTGATGACATGTGTCTACCGAGTCAGCGAGCCTGACCACCCGATCCCGTTAGTCGCCTCTTACGGCAAGCATAGTCACCTTTTGTGGCAAGCATGGGTTGCTGAAGACCTATTCTACCCCGGATCTTCACCGGTCATATTATTAAAAAGATCCTTCATAGTTCGTGATTTGAAAATGTCATCCCTTTTTGATGGAATATTCAACACAGTCAAGCAAGACATGCTTCACTGCGATTCTTTCATCACAAAGGATGCAAATACTTCACCTTTTAACAGATCATGAGTATACCTTGTATGGCCAATACGACATCGTCGCTTGATGACCTGGACTGACAACCCAAGTAGGTGTAACCAATATTGGGTTTTATTTCATATTAATTTGTTACCACCTACATGGGTGTCCCACTGCTTCTGCACTGATGCTAGCTTTGTAAACAGAGTATGGAATAAGAAGTGGTGTCACAGATTTACTGAGTGCTGCCTTGGCAGCAAGTTCAGCCACTGCATTCCCACAAATGCCAAAGTGGCTGGGTAACCAAGAAAAGACGATGTCGCATTGGCCAGTAGCAAGTGGATGTTTACAAGAAAGATTTTTAATAGCCTGAAGACACGAAAGAGAATAGAAAAAGATGATGTATTGTTTGTATTTACGGTGTTTATTAATATATTTAAGAGCTGTTAATATGGCGTTAGCTTCTGCTGTGAAAATAGAGGTTATTGGGCAATCGAGAGGATAATGTTTTGGACAATGACAGTGGCACAAGCAACTGCGCTCAGGTCAATGGAAGATAGGGTGATTTTTTGTAGGGAACCCAGGAGTAAACGAGAGCTGTTATGTAATAATAACTACAGTCAAATTCCGATGAGTCGAATCTCTGGGGACCAAGTAATAAATTCGACTTATCGATGTATGCGAGACATAGGTCTGTCTATGAGGGTAGAAAAAAAGATGATCCAGTCCTAATTCCTCCGCCTAAGCATTTGTTTATCTAATGATTTCCCTATCACTAATAGGGGCACCTTATCAGTTCCAGTCTGATTAGCACAGACAGTGATTGCCGTAATTGGACAAAAGGAAGGCTAAGTAATTCACACTGATTATCATGTTACCGATAATGAAGACGTTGACATCCAAAAATTTCCCTGTTAGACTTGTCAGTTTTGGAGTGTTCTGTGGTATCTACAAGTGTTCTGTGGTATCTACAAGTGTATGCTCATGATTGCTTTGAAGTTAGTAACAAAGCGAACCATTTTTGTACTCAAAATGGTTTATGCAATCATAAAAATCAAATAAATGTAACCATTATATGTTGCGTAAATGAGTGAGTGGATAATGCCATATTACCCCACATGTGGGGAATCGAACCCTGCATGACGAGTGGACGCTTTAACCATTAGGCTACCCCACGGCACAGTATTAGGCATTCCAAATACTAAATGCATAGATTACGATGCAGATTATTGTTCAACAGAATATTTACTTCAAGAACGGAAGTAGTGCAGCTAAATTCAGCAAAAACTCCATTTTCCCGTCATAATGCGATGAATATCTTCTGTAAAATTTATAACTTGAAAGGGTCTGCCATCTCGATGCTGCACCATTGTTATTTGAATCATAGACAATAGCGGCTTGCTACCTGAGGAATGATAAATATTGTTAATATAAATAATTTAACATTTGTGCTCTCTTACCTTCCTTCCAACAGCAGTAATGGGCAGAACACTGTAGATGATACACAAGTGCGTAAAAAGACTGACGACTTTCGCTTTAAGAGGAGTTTCCCGGAAAACTATTCATAGCTTGTGATACATTTCCTCTTTGGGCGCAAGTCGTTGGTATTGAAAGCCATACTTGACGACAATACAATATCAACTGAAACGGTGAACACCTGCGAGCTATTGCGACACACATGCAAATATGAGATCTATTACACTTATCTCTTTCGGTTATTTCAACTGTATGACAGTTGAAACAGCATAACAAGCACCATACAAAATGGCTGTTTTACCCAAATTTACTCACGTCAGAAAGGATACGTTTCATCCGGCGTCCATATGACCATCGTATGAAATCTACGTATCATCTGGCTGTCAGATTTACACACGTTTAAAGGGGTATTAAAATATTTGAACACTCGAATCTGTATTTATATGGGTTTTACAGGTGTGCAAACCTGGCCATTGTTTTCATGTGTTTTCTAGCATGTGTCATAAACATAAATTTTGTGAATGAAGGCCATGGATCTCAGTACCCTTGAAATCTCGCATGACCATGGTTAGGTTTGTCATACATTTAATACACGCGTAAATAATTGGTAATGGGTAAATAAAGTGTTATAAGATTGACACCACTTTAACATATATTTCAATGGTTCTGTAATATAACTGTCACATTGGGTTCGTTGATAGCGACCACGCCATAATGTACTGAGGTCATGAGAAACACATGGCGAAGTGATACCCATGACTGAGCACCACTATTACGTGCATGCCTTTCTTGACAAACACCTGATGTCTGTTTAAAAGGTTCAAATATCGGGTCTGTGGGTCAGTGCGATATGTATGCTAGGGAGCGTGTTTGTCTGTACGTGTGCTTGCATGTGTGTGTGAGAGAGAGAGGGTGTGGGTCGGTGGGTTGGATTATATTATTACTCCTTCATCAAAATTGGAATGTTTTAGCTTTGCTCGCTAGGTTTATATTCATATCTGTGATTCTCTAGTATTTTTACTGTCCATCGTCGACAGGTTTTAATCTTCAAAATGTCTTCACCTATTATGGTATAAACTTTTTTCGTCACGATGTGGCTGAGATATTACCGATGTGACGTTAAATATTCACTCACTCACTCACTCATCAGATCAGCGGAAGCTTGGATGCTTGTATGTCTGTGTGAGAACAACAGAAATAGTAAGATAACAAAGCCATGTCCGGACTTAGGGAAGCCATGAGAAAATTAGAAACCGGATCAACTGACGCTACCCATGGACTAACCGCCCAACTTAAGTGAAGAAATTATGATTACTATATTTAAACGTATGGAAAAGCAGAATGATAATTATGTGCATACATGTGCAGTGATATACAGATGTCTGGATCATCACTGCTTTGAGTGCCTATGGCATTTAGCTGAAATGAGCGGGAGAGCCCTAGTGTTGTAGGCACTTGGGCGGGATATAGTTTTTAACAGGGGGTATAGAAATGTTTGTATATTCCCAGAGGTAAGTTAAAGTTTTATATCTAAATCTTCACAGTGCTGACAAGATAAATGAAATAACAGCAGCTCATTATCATGGTCACCATCACAGCACTAATTACTACTAAAAACAAAATATGTATCATGTATTATCCACAACTCCAATGTATATGGACCCGAGGCTTTTTTGTACAATAAAAATATTTGACTTTGACACATATGACAAAACAGGGCAGACAATGAATGCGTGACAATGACATTACCATTAATGATTTATTCTCTGAATCAACTATTTACACGTGCTTATATGCTCACAACAAAAAGACAAACAACTAAAATCATCATTTTAAAAAAACATGAATATCCTTAACACAAAACGTAAAATGTGCCCTACCAACATCAATCATTGGAGAAGAGGACACTTCCACAAGCTAGTGAGATTCAAAAACATATGACAGAGACCAATGCCAACTTCATTGGCATTTCCGTGTCATTTGAAATATAATTAAACATTTTTATTGATCAAATTCATGCTTAATACTTTTCATCTTAATGGTTCTATTCGCACTGCCATAAGCCAAACATGTCAGGCATGTTATGTCAAATTATGTAGTCCATATTTATGTGGGGCACACTATCAGGGACATGCAGGTGTTTTCTAGACTACCCATCAAATGTGTAATAGTGTTTTCGTAGAAAAGAAGCCATGCAGCTAAAAAGTCAAATGTAAGCATTACAAAAAGGGCTGGCTATCGATCTAGATCATAGAGATCGATAACCGTTAACTAAATATCGATCGATTATGGATAAACATCGAAGAAGTACATGTAACTATGAGCAAAAATGCTCAAAAAGTCTGAAGGAAATTAATATATTTCACATCATTTGGGAGTGATGACATGTATTATCATGCATGGACTATTAACAAAACAGGGTCCTGGCCATTATTCAGAAGCAGATCATGATGTCCTAACTTTGTATATTGTGTCAGAAAATTAAAACGTTTTTCTATTACAAAAGTTAATATACGATATTATCAATAACACAACTTCCATATCGATAATCCATAACACTGTCTCTTATTTCAGATTACCGAAAATTTTAGCCAGCCTTATTCAATGTTTGATATAAATCCTGAACTTCTTAAAGTCCCCGTTAAGATCCGGGTAATAATTGCTCTTCAACAACCAATGCAGGGATCGGGTGGTCAGGCTCGCTGACTTGGCAGAAACGTGTCATCGTATCCCAGTTGCGTAGATCGATGCTCATGGTGTTGATCACTTGATAGTTTGATCCAGACTTGAAAGTTTTATTCCGCCATATAGCAGGAATATTGCTGAGTGCGAAGTGAAACAACACACCAACCAACCGATGTGATTATAAATTTAAAGTCTCTCTCACTGAAGGATATGAGAACAATAACACAAGAAGCGGAAATCTGACGTCATAAAATCCCAACACCATCAATGGTTGCTGCTTGCTTTCAAACCTAAAATTATCCAAGACTGATGTCCTTTGACTGAATATTCAACACAACACCAACACACATTATTTTCCATTTATATGGACAACAGTACCACACGTTATTCTTCAGGATCTTATATAATGCATTTCTAGAGGACACACTATTGACCCTAATGATGATTAGTGGCGCTAAGGACACACTGTGCGCAAGATTAACAGGCATATTATATTCACTGGTACACATTTTCTGCTGGACTAACAGAAGCAACTTTGAACAAACTCACTGGACGGTGAGACCATGCGTGTCACGTGTGCTTCGTTGTGGAGCAAGACTGAAGGCCTGAGAACCCTCAAGAGTCACACTTGCTCATCAAGTTTGTTTGCTTCGAAACATGAAGAATATCTCTCTAAATTAATCATTACCATTTCACTGAATGCATTTTGAGAATTGTTTGTTCTCGATAAGACGTTGTGAGCAATGTCTAGGCATGGTTTCAATCAACTGATGACAAAAAGTAGACAAGTGAAGAAACCACAGGTTCGACATATCCAATACAAATATTGAGAAGTGTGAGAGTGAGTTACGAGTCACATCGGCGTTATTTCGGCCGTATCGTGACTAAAACAAGTTACATATTTACAACACGCAAAGTTAATTCTAAAATCGTGCCAAGGAGAGACAGTAAAAACTACTAAGTTATCACAGATATAGCTGTAAAACAAGTATGTAAATCTTAAACTTTTAAAGAGAAGCAAAATACGGAGAAATAAGTACGTGATTGCGGTGCTTTGTACCTTGTCAGTATGACGTATGTCACGGTAACGTTGTACCCGAACTGGAATGATATCTCAAATGTTAAAAGTACGGATTTGATACGTCATATATTGTAAATGATCAACTCTCCTCTGAAATGTAGCGTCACTTCGGTGTACAATCCATCACTACTTGAGTACTAGTGATGTACTCATGAGCACTTAATACTTGTCTGCATAGATTAGACAGGATGAGAACATCCATACAAGGATGGTTCCACGGTCGTCTCTGGAAGGACGCAGAATGTACGTCCCAGGTGACAGGTTGTAGCGGAAAGTTCAACTAAGCGTCGTGGCTTTCCCTCAATGTCTCGTATACGTGTGCGATCATCCCCCCTGCAATAAAGCGACGTTAGTGACGATGAAATACATTTTAACACATGTGCTGCACGAACAAGTCCATAAATACAAACAGTTAATGTAGTTTTCAAGTCAAAAATAAACTGATCAGATTAATAACTTTCTCTCTGAATAACAAGAAGGCAATGATCAGTTACTGAAGCATTAACAAGACATTGCCTCACTCACGGTTAATACGTCACAGCCGATGTTGCTGAAGTTGTCGTGCCGGAGTTCCTCCTGTATGACTTGAACCACTACAGGGACAGTTCCTTACGGTGTGATGCCTGACAGTATAGACGTTCAGGGTCAGAGAAACAGTTACCCATCCTAGATTATCTAACCATTATTCCAACATCACATAAGGCATTTATATCTTTTGTTGAGAGTTGGATATAACAATGATTTATCATCCAGTATAAATAAATCTCGCCCTTGTGGCCTTTTTTATATTAAATATGTCAGTACTTGTTGATTAAAGTAAAATTGGTAACTTTAATCAACTTGTGTTGATACAATTGATTTCAGAAGACACTTGGGTGAGCTTCTCCATATCGCAGTAAGAAAATTCATGAACGGGACAACCTCTATCCTTTTCGGAATAGTCGGAATAATCCGGCTCCTTGTACATCCTTGGGATGGTGATTTTCACTGATGTTCCCAACTCTCCAAGGATGCTCGGCACATAGTCTGACAAAAGAAAGAAACGTTAAAACATTTTGACACAACTGGCACTTCAAACACGAAATAAGACTCTAATCTGCCTGACACTTGTATTTATACATCATCATGCATTGTACCCCATCATCAAATCTTTGTTTATTGATTGTTCACCGATGGCAGTTTCTAAATGATCGACTGAATCACATGTCAGTCTCATACGAAAGCCCCTTTTAGGAGGACACGTCTGGATATTGGCGCTAAATAAATCTATATATTTTACAGATTATGCAGCAGAGAATGTTCGGGTGATCCTGGCACAGT